TCATAGTACTATATTACCCCTGCTCCTATTTGAAAAGTGTCCTGAGATAACTTCTGTTATGAATTGGCGCTATACAAATACAATTGAATTGAATTGAATTGATGGATTTACATTCAGGAATTACTATACCAATATATTATATTATTGTAAGAAATGTAATGTATAAATCATTTACTTTGTTTTGATTTGGTTATGTGCCATTTATCATGGATCAGAGAGAAGCAAATTGTGTGACAGCAAATTGCGTGTTTGTAACAGGAGGAGAGGAAGAGGATGAGGGAGGAGATAGAGAAGAGGAGGGCAGAGGCTGCAGAGAAGAAGAAACAGAAGGAGGAAGAGTCTACAAAACCTGTCTTTGCTGTCAGTCCCAAAGGCTCCTCAAAGGTGAGTTTTTGAGCAAAGGTTCAGTTGTTCTAGAGGTTTGTGTGTAGCCGTATATAGACCATTTGGGTTTTATTTGCCCAGGTTTGGAGATATCATCTTTGATATTTGCACCCAAATACAAAATGGATTTATCACGGTGCTCATTCAATATCCTAAAAGAAGTGTCCCAGTAACTTTGGATAATCCACAGCCAACTGTCAGTAGATTGATTGGAACAACTGGGTTTCTGTAGTAGAAAGGATTGCTATTTAGATAAAGCACAGAGAGCCACACAACCTACTTCTACGAGACACATGTTGGGCTTTCCAGATGTTTGTAAAGCACAATTAACTATTTGTAAGTGTAATAATTTAACTTTTTGGGAAATACACTAATTGAAGAAGGTCAATGGCACTTTCGTGTTTCCAAAGGTTAAAAAAATCCACCTACCAGAACCTCTAATGCTCTATGAGTCTTGTTGTCAGGTTTCCATTAAACCAGGGTAGACTCAAGGAAATCGCTGCACCATATATTTCAGAACGTAAGAACCCCCTTAGAACAGCAAATGTCTGCTACTATACCTTGGTTTTTGTATGGACTAAACAAATGAGATATGACATGTTATGGCGCTGGGAGGTGGTCTACAGTCTTGTATTGTTATAATGCTAAACAACGGGAATCAGCATATTTAACAGACAAACATGAGAGTGGTATCGATCTTCTCATCTACAAACATACAAAGTGTATTTTCCAAATCTGGAGCCATTCCATAAAGCACTGACATGCCACCAGTTTGTATACATTATAGCATTTAAAGGTAATTTATTCCCATGCAACAACAGATGTGCTTTTATTTGTTATCTCCAGTTTTGAGACATTGTTATTCTCATTTTCCCTCTGTGGCCTAATGTGGTTGGTTGTTTTGCCAGTTTCTGTTTTTAATTCTTCTGATATTACCCATATATTGTTATTTGATCCAAGCTGGCGACTGTGCTGTTGGCAGGCTGTTGACGACCAAGACCATGACTGGGCAATTTTCTTGCTGGGGTATTTTTGGAGGAATGTTGAGAATTGTGTGCGTACATGGGAGGTATAATTCATCTTGAACAGCAGTACTCAGTGTGTGTGTGTGTGAGCTGTGTGTATGTGTATACTGCCAGACTCTACAGTTTAGTCACTCAGGAAGTAGCCAACACAGTGTCCAAGTACAGACAGAGCTCCCCAGGGACAGACTAGTCTGTCTGTCAGCGAGGTGGTCTTGGAGAGAAGGAAGCCAGGATAGCTTGACCTAACCAAATTTATTTGTGCCTTTATTTTATGTCAGTGGCAGACTGGTTTATAACTATGCTGTTTTGTACAGATCGGGGAGAAGGCAGAATTCTTGAGCAAATCAGCCCAGAAAAGGTGAGACATAAAAGGTATTTTTTACAGTAAAATCTGAATAAAATAATAAACCAAGACCTTTTTACATTGGTGAGCTATACTTATGTCTTATGTGTTGTTGATCCACACAGCACTGCAGCCAGAGTGTCTCACACTCCAATTGTCTCCAGGATTGGAAACAGACTAGACCAGTACACTTCTGCCCTCCAGGTGAGCAACGTTATTCACTATCCTTGTGGTGGTGGAAGAAGTACTCAAATTCTTTACTTAATTGTATTATAAAGAGGAGTTTTTAACTGATTATGCCTATATGACCTATAAACAAACAAGACCATTACTGAGAACATTGGCTATTTCTATAAAGATATTCTCAGATTTGGTATCATTCCCCTTGAAATCAATGAAACAAGGCGCTAGAAACCCTACGACCTCTTCAGTTCCTTGTAGGAGCTAAAAGTACCAGTAAAACAATGTAAAAATACTCCATTACATGTAAAAGTCCTTCAAACTCCTATTTAAGTAAAAGCACAGTGTCAGCAAGTAGTAAAGTAAAAGTGCATATTTTGCAGAAAAAAAGGTCCCTGTAGCTAAAATTTATTTATTACACTACTAGACTGTTAATACATCAGTGTGTTGCAGCTGGTAAAGGCTGAGTAAGTTTTGAGATAAATCTGAGAAAGATTTTTTTAAATATAGGAATTTATTTTTTCTTCCTTTTTTTTTGTTTTTAGATATTGAATATTTTAACCTCTTTGTGTCTTGAACATCTATTGATACATTGTCAAGAAGGAACATCTTTTTTAAGGGATTGCAAGCCAAAAACGTTGTAAACACCTGGTCTTCACAATGCATTTGCATTAAAATGTAAAATCTTAATCTGCAATGTAATTAGCAACTATAGCTGTCAAATATATGTTATAAATAAATAAAACATCAATATCTGCCTATAATGAAGTGTTGCAGTAGTAGAAGAACAAAAGTGTAAGGGAACATAAATATAATAAAACATAATAAGATGGAAATACTCATTAAACTACTACAGATCCTCAGTCAATGTAGTGCTGTTTTTAACCATATAAAAGCAGTTAAATCCATCCTCTATTTCAGGGAAACAAAGAAGTCAAATCCCCAAAGTCTCCAATGGCAGATATTCCTACAGGAGGAACTCGCAGCATCAAGAGCATGTGGGAAAAGGGCAATGTCGGCAGCTCCTCTGAGAGTCCAGCTCCTGCCAACAAGGTGAGAGAAACAGAGAAGGGTGGGCAGGGAGAGAGAGATTTACTGACATGTGATTGAGTGTCTCTTTCCCCAGGATGTGGCTGGTATCAAAGGAGGCGTGGCTGGACGTGTCAACAGTTGGATGGCAAAGCCTGCAGAGCCGGAGAAGACAGGGGCACCAGCACCTGCACCAGCACCAGCAGCAGCATCACCAGCAACAGCAAAGCCAGCGGTAAGGCCTGATAAACCCCTGTCTTGATCACACGCACACACTATTGTAAATTAGACACCAGTGTTACTTCAATAGAGTAATCCCTTGATATTCTGTACACGCTAATGTGCTCATTTGCACATCAGCATGCCAGTCTTTTGTTGGCTTCTGCCTTTGTATCCTAGACTGGACCAAGTTGCTGTCTGGAGTCTAGTGACACCACATGGACGGTTTACTTAACAACACCAGCTACTAAAGCCCCCCAGAACCCTCTGTGTATTATTCTTTACACAATATGAAAGTTTTTTTAATACATATATTTAAGCCTAAACCTGTGGGAAGTCATTGGATGGAAGAAGAATATTAACAACAGTTGAACCAGAAAGCACGGAGCAGCAGTGTCAAGTGGCTGAATGCCAATGTACCTCCTCGCACAGCCGTTTCTACACTGCTCTATACATCAATCACTGTGGCCTCTGTAGGTATTTCTAGATTATGTTACAGCCCATTATCCATACAGTAGTTTTAAACAGTTAACATTTCAGTCTCACTGTGACTCCATATTTAAAGTCTCCTTCGGGCAAGGGTAAATAGCCATGTCCCTTCACATTTGTCACATACAGAGACGTTATTATTCTATTTCACTACACTGACAACAACCAACAACAAGTGAGCAGATGTTGAATGATTAATTTCCTTCATTTATCATCATATGGCACCAGTAAGTAGGGTGAGGTCACTTGTAACTGGGTACTTGCTGGACACTTTGTCCTTTTCTTAAAGTAGGACACCAGCTGCTAATCTTACTAAGTCTCCTGGAGACATTATACTGTGTCCGCATGCAGTAGCATTGCTGGATAAGGTGCAACATTGTTCTAACGTCAAATTTATGAGCGAGATATCTTTAGTGTCAGACGTCTTGGCCAGAGCAGTGGTTATAACCTTACCCTTACTTATGCTGCAACACCTCCCCCTAATGGGAAGAAGCTGTACAGCAGTTTAATGAGTGTCTGTATCCGTACCTGTATTTACTTTTGTATTTTTACTGTCGTTTAATTCTCTTCTGCCTTTCTTTCCCTATGCACTCTCCCTTTTGTTTCTCAGCTTTCCTCACTCAAACTTTTCCTACTGATCTTTGTCCACTCTTCAAACTGGTAAAGGTACCATTTTACTTTTCTTAATAACTACCACCAATGATCAGAAGCATAATAAAAACTAAATAATTGCATCGCAGTGGTGGAAAGTAATTAAGTACCTATACTCCAGTACTGTACTAATATAATTTACAGTTATTTAAATCAAGTATTTACATTGATTCCAATTTATATTTCTACTGCACTGCATTTTAGACTGAAATGTTGTACTTTTTACTCCACTTGCTACTAGTTACTAGTTAAAGAAAGATTTGACATTAAAAAGAGGTTAAGCGTTTAAAACACAATACATTGCTAAATATAAACCAGAGGTTCCCAACCTTTTTGGCTTGTGACTTCCTACAAAGTATCTAGCTGGGGACTCTTATTGCATTTCAGATGTTGAGTTTCCTCTTGAAACTTCTCAGATTATGTTATTTAGATTTGAGATTAATCCAAATATGAATATATATATATATGTATATATATCCCCATTACATCCATCACATATATTACTCGCAGAAACCATTTGTTAAAGAAAGAGTATTACTGATTTTAATAGTTAAAGTACATGTTGCTGATAAGACTTCTGCTGGGGTGGAAAGTTACTACACTGACTCTAGTAATGAACTAATATACTAATTTGAAGTATCAGTACTTTTCTTTAATATTTTCATGCTATGCTTCTATCTATATTTCTATCTATATTTCGGAGGCAAATATTGTACTTTTTACTTATTTATTTGAGTGTTTTAATTACTATGAAACATTTGATTATTAATACAAAATATAACCAACAAATAAATTATATATATGCTAACACTGTTGTATTTAGTATTTCTAATGAGGTCATGGTTTGTCTTATTTGTGACAGGATGTGAAACCAGGTGACATCGGTAACAAGCGTGGCATGTGGGAAACCAAGAAGAGCTCTACACCTGCCAAGGTAAAACATACTCAAACCTCAACTGTAAAGGAGGGGAGATGTTAATGTTTTAAAGGCTTTACAGTGACATGGTCCTGTTTGTTTGTTTCATTCAGTCTACCAAATAGACAGGTGAAAGAGGTAATTTGTGGATCTGTGACAACAACACTCAATGCACGTTCCACCAGCACAGAGTGATTGATATTTGTGATGTTTACACCTTTTTTTTAATGCTGTCTCTACACGCATATGACTGGGGTCAGTGTTGCCAGATTGGCCAGGTTCCACCCATTTGGGCTACTTTTTTCTTTAATTGAGCAGGTAAAAATAGTTTTGTGATACTTTGAGACACTTTTTGTACGACTTGGGTGATTTTCTGCTAACAAAAACTTTGGCTATTTTCCAATAAATCTGTCCCTTCACTAATCTAAGTAGTGTGATTGAGACTGACAGGGCAGTGAGCTCAGTCAGCTCAGCAAAACAAACATTGACTAATAACTGATGACTATCAAGTAATTTCAGTTCATTAAAGCTAAGGTTTTGATTGGGCTCTTTTTGTCAGTCCAATCTGGCAACACTGTTGGGGTTGTTTGTTTCTCAGTTCAGTCAACTCAAAAGGTACATTTGATAACTATCAGATTTTTCAGTAAGGGACTGTACAAAAATTATTAGGGGGAGGTCACATATTCTTGTTACTGAAGGGAGGTTAGTCAACATTCTTTGGAAGAGAAGATTTTATTATATTTCATTCTTTACATGTGAGTTTTCTTGTAAAACAATTCAATAAAGTTATTAAAAAAAAACAGGTCAGAATGGGCATGTTCGGCCATATGCAAATGACATCAATCTTATCATAATTAAAAACAATAAAACAATTGGTATGTTGTTGGTCTTTATGCGCAGTTTTTAATGGTAAACTAATTATAATAATAATTAATAATAAACAACTGTTTTTTCTAAATACTAAGGGGAGGCAGTTTTTCTCTTAGTCAAAGGGAGGGGCCAGTCAGCCCCCTTCCCCCACCCTGATAATTTTCATATAGGCCCTAAGTCATTAGTCTTTACACAATAATTATCTTTTGTCAAAAAATATGTATTTTAAATTGAAAACCTCTCTTTGAGTTGCCTAAACTGAAATTGATGTTATGAAGGACATGGCTACTATTGGTGTGAATTTCCCCTTCGTCCCCCCTCTCACACACATACTGTAATATATTATCTACATGCTATCATTAGTTCCCACACTGGCTTTGAAATCATAAATAGTTTTCCTTGGCTATGACGTGGTTGTAAATTTGAAACCTGTATTACTTTCATCCATGAATGCGATCTATATATTGTTACAAGATGTTTCGGCTGCACTGTGCACAGCCTAACCCTTGTGCCAAGATAGTAGTTGCATTACAGTAAGGATATTATGGTTGACTGCATGTGGTTATGTTTAAATGGTGTGTATGATGTGCTTTGAAAAGATCTCTGGTGTAGGATTTTACTGCATTTGTTTCATGTGAGAGTTTCTAACAGTAAATAAAATAACATGTGTTAGTCTGTCACTCCACCTCTCTTGGTATTAAATATAACCACAGAGGAAACAACGTCATTTCTTTTTATTAGGATCTCCATTAGCTTCAGTGTAGCTAAGGCTTTTAATCCTGTGGTCCACAAAAAGAATCCCAGAATAAGCTTAGTTTGTTTCAACACTATCAGCGGATGACATTTGGCAATACTAAATATGTGGTTTATTGTTTTTTGTCTTCCCCCTTTGCTTTGTTTTTTCCCTTCTTCTTAATTCTTCATGTCTACAGGTGACAGTTGGAGGCAAGAGCAAGTTTGGTGGTAAGTTTCTTAAGTGATTGTAAATAGTGGTCAAATGTAATAATGTACATTTACCCAAGGACTGTACTAAAGTACAATTCTGAGGTTCTGCTTATACTTTTACTTCACATCAGCAGAAAATATAAATAAGCGTATTCCCAAAATGACTTGTTTGATGTTTGAAATCAAGTATCTTTCAGTAGGGGTATTTTCACATTTACAGGGACCTGAATACTTCCTCCACCACTAACTGTAAATGTGCACATACGACATGTTAAACCAGGGTTTATCTTGATCAGTCCTGGGGGAAGCAGAGTTTAGATGAGGTGTGTCTGTCCTTCAAAACATTTTCTGGACGAGGGGGNNAAGCCATGACTGATTTATAGCTCCCTGTGGACTCACAGCCACTACAACTCACCAACCTTCCTTTGTGCCAGACTATAAACTATAAATCAAATCTGCTGCTGGAGATTTTTGGGCACGGGCTCAGCTCTGTGGCACTGTGGTCTATATTTAAAAAAACCTCACCCTGACCTTGTTTCCCAGTATAAAGAACCTTCCAGGCTCCTGGGATGGCTGTCATGTCTTTGCAGTGCACCGTTCACCCAGTGCCACCTGGGCTGTCCAATGCCAAGCAGGGTGTCGGCGCGCTGTTAGGCATACCAGAGTGCAGCTGCTTGATTTTCACATTACAACTGACTGCTGGGGAGGATTACTAACCGTTTAAGCAGCAAATCGGGCCCGATCACCAGGCTTATTCACTCAGTGCTGATGATAAAGACCTAACATGTATCCCTAAAGTCTGTTGGGACAGTTTACATGTGCATCAATCATGAAAACAGACATTAAACATTAATTGATAATAGCACTGTAAAGCTGTTTTTCTTCTTCGTGTTTAAACACCACATTTCTTCTGACATCAAGCCCCCCAGGGCTTGAGCCAAAGCGCGAACAATAGGAATGGAAAAGTGTTTGTCAAGTGTCAGCTTCGACCCTAAATAGCGGTCCTTGTTCGTAACCTCCCCGCTTCTTCATCTGAAATAGCCCGCTGAGGAATGAAGTAAAGGGCAAATGACAAAGTTCCAGCTTTCAATCACACAGAGAAGTGCCCTGGCTTTGACTGTAGGGTATATGTCAGCAATAGTAGAAGTGGCTCTGATAAAACACTGACAATAGACAATAGTATGGACATTAAAGCTTTGATTAACAGCCCTGAGACTAATCTTGTTTGACACCTAATAAACTTTGATGCAGTTTTAAATGATGGATGCTTTGACTAATAGATCCTGAATGTCTGTCTGTCTTTCTATTAGCAGGTGTGAGACCCTAACCACTGACATCCCCATTTAAATCAAGCCTTACCTGACCAGTCACAAGGCTCTGCTACTGTATTTGCATCCATTTCCCTTCAACGTACCCATATTTCACATGAAGTTCACACCAGAATGAGGAACAGACAGGGGACCAGGATAAGCGACGTCGGAGGATCCCAGCAGTATCTTTATGAATAACTTTTGCACCGTCCCCAAATCCCAGAATATGTCAGACCTGGTGAGGGTTTTCAGGACAAAGTACCACATGTTAAATGCTTAATAGCTAATGGATTGTGTAGTATCCATTGGTTTAATCGAGATTAGTCTTTACAAATTTCAGATGGCTGTCTGGATGCTTAAATGTTATATTGCTTTCAAGCCACACTGGCATGTCAGCTCTTTTGTGATACAGCTTATACTCAATAATAAGCATTTGTGATTTATTGTCATACACTCTCACTGCTTTTAGGGATGATAGTCACTATTTTAACTCCATGTGATAACCAAGGCTGGTTAATGTCCATCTCACAGCTTGTATTTGAATTATTAGAGTATACTGCCACTGAGCTGGATGCTGGGTGATTAGCCTGTACATAATTGAGTCATTTCATAAGTCAGCACCACATTCTCCTTATAAAGGGTTTATAAATACTAACTAATGACTTTATCAATGATGAATAAGTCACTATTGAGAGCATGTTTTGGCTTAGTGTTGCGGCTCAAGCGTTGGCAATGTCGGCCAGCCTGTTGGCCCACCTCTTTGGTCTAGACTGAAATATCTCAACAATGATGGGATGCATTGCCATAAAATCCGGTACAGACATTCATGGTGCCCGGACAATGAAGCCTACTGACTTTGATGACTTTTCATCTAGTGCCACAAGCAGCTCAAAGTTATACAGTGGGTAGTTACAAAATTTATAAACCCCTTATAATGGGTGCCTTATTATAACGTGGTACCCAGAAGTCCACCGCCTCAGGCTAGGTGATGATATCAGTGGCACCACAGATGTAAAACAAGCCACAGTGTGCAAACGTTTCAGTGTGTCTGTCAACAACACCTGGGTTTGTTAGCTTTTCACATCATTATGCACGCACCAACAAAGTCTATGAATACTTGAGTATCGAGTTGAGTGAGTATCCACTGTAACAACTATTCAGTGACCAAATGAAAAACTATTTAATAAGCAGGTAGTGGTCTTGCTTATCTATCATCAGTTTACATGCCACTAACTTTGCAGTTTGCAGTTTATTTATGCAGCAGCGATAAAGGTTTATATGCACTCTGTTTGAACAATGCCTGTAATTAACTTTAGATTGTACCCCGGTGTTTTTGTCAGTCAGCAGTGGACATGATTTCAACCCTACAAAAAAAATTCAGTATTATTGTGTTTGATTGCTTTGTTTGAATGTTTAGAGTTATTGTTTGTTCTTGCTTCAGCAATAAAAAAGAAAAAAAAAGGAAAGCGTGTTCTGTTGTTTTGATTTTAGTTTGATTGGGATGAAATATTGCTTCATGTCCTTCCTAACTACTTGGGAAATGATGGAGTGTTGAAACCTGAGTTGCTGTTGAAAGCTTGAATGGATATGTGACATTTTACCAGGATAGGAATGTACCTGCTCAATGTGTGTGTGCATGTGTGTGTGAGACAGAGCTGCAGCTGTCTAACAATAGACTGACCAGCCATAGGGTGCTGCAGTCACATGAGTAAGAAGGGCTGGACTATGTATCCTTGATGCTCAACCTGTTGTGAACTTCAAGGAGCTGAAGTCTGTTGCCCGTCTCTGAGCTCCCTCTGTCTGGCTCACAGGTAAGGACTCTCATTATTGCTACTTGAAATAAAAGCCTTGTTTAGTCATAAATCTTGCAAATAGTGTTTCCTGACTGTTGAGTTGGAGATAACTGTGTGTGTTTAAATTGTGTTCACTGATTGCTAAGATCTTTAAGGGACATTCAACATGTTGTTTCAGTCTTATTATCCACTGTTCTCACCAAATGTGACTGAATTGCATCCAAAACCTCTCACACAATGATTGAGATTACTTAGTTCTCACTAGTGGTACCGCTGTACAATGCCCTACAGTATGTGTACCCTGCTCTGACACAAAATAAAATAAATATTTGAAGGGTAATAACCTTAAATAGAAAGTGACTCAGTTCATTCACTTGAACACTGTCTTTAAGTACACATTTGACATACTTCACTGGAATATTTAGATACATTTGATGCCACTTTATAGTACTTCAACACATTTCAAGGAAGCATTTCCTTCTTATTTCCCTAAACTTATCTGACAGCTGTAATGACTATAGTAACTTACTTGTGTAAGTAACTGAGGATATTTACTTCTAAAATGACCTTCCAGCTGCAGAAACTAATAGTTACTTTTCAGATTATGAGTGCAATGCTTTTTTACAGCTTGCAGAATTAATTTAACACTCTGAAATGAGACATTTCCAAATGAGAACTTGGTTTTTGATTCTAAGAACATTTTACCGCTAATACCTCAAGTTATTTTAATCGATTGTTTGAACGCAGGACCTATATTAGTATCGTGGTGTTGACAGTATTGCTAAAAGTTCCCAATACTTCTTCCACTACTGCCACAGTGACCACAGATATTTGGGTCAGTACTGTCATTGTAAACTGTGTGAACTGTTGCCACCCCATGCTCTGCTGTGTTGTTTAATGATCAGATATATTTGCCAGTCTAAAAATAGACTAAAAGGGATCCATTTTGCAGAGCTCATCCATAACAAAATGTCTGACACAGAAGAAGTCCTGGAGGAGGAAGTTCAGTATGTGCTCATTTAAACACTTTTGTATTTTCATATTGTTTCTAATTATGACTCAACAAAATTATTAATTTATGTTTTTATTATTTTTATTCCTATTGTCAACGCTGCTGTTCTTCTAAAGGGAGGAAGAAGGTAAGAAAGCTGCATGTGTTTATATACTAAATCTCATTTGATTCCCAAACATTTTACTAATCATTTATGTTCCCGACCATCAGCGCAAGATGGATCAAAGCCCAAGCCTAAGTAAGTGTCTTAGCTCTTCTTTTGTTAAGCAGTTAAAAACACAACTTATGGCAGTTTTCACAATAATAAACTGTTCACTTCCACAGGTTTATGACAAATATTACCGCCCCAAAGATCCCTGATGGCGACAAAGTGGATTTTGATGTGAGTCAACCCTATTAAATGCCTCCTTCTTGATAGAAACAAACATCAGATAAAACATCATAACGTCTAACACTGATTTGTTTTCCTGATGGCAGGACATCCACAGGAAGCGTCAGGAGAAGGATCTGTCTGAGCTGCAGTCTCTGATCGAGGCTCACTTCATCCAGAGGAAGAAGGAGGAAGAGGAGCTCATCGCCCTTGTTAACAGAATTGTGAGTGTGTTGATCAAAGAGGAATCACATTGTTTCTATTTGGTCAAAATCACCTTGACTCTGTCTCTTTTACAGGAAAAACGTCGTGCTGAGAGAGCAGAGCAGCAAAGGGTCCGGACAGAGAGAGAGAAGGAGAGGCAGGCCAGACTCGCGGTATGGTCTCAGTGTACATCAAATCCTCACACCACAGTACATCATAACAGCCAACATGAAAAAACCCCATCTGTTTCTCCTCTAAATAACTGACTTGTGCTGCATACAGGAGGAAAAGGAGCGGAAGGAGCTGGAGGAGCAGCGTAAGAAGTATGATGATGATGCCAAGAAGAAGAAGGCCCTCTCAAACATGACCCAGCAGTACAGTGCTGGACAAAAGGTCATTCAACTTCTCATGGCTTATAGCTTTTCAGCATGAAACAAAATGAACATGGAAAAAGAGCTCAGAAATAAGGCTGTTGCTTGACTATATGTAGATGTACAAAAATGACTCATTCTATGAACTTGCTTTGTTACACAGAATCATCAAACAGGTCATTCTGACTGTAACTATTGACTGTAGCCACTTATGCATGAATGCACACTGCAAACCAACCCCTCTCCAGAGGGAGCCCCTAGAAATGGTGATCTATCTATCAGACTTCCTTAAAAGAAAGAAAATCAGGGTCAAACTTAAATATCCTCCCTGCATGTACCATATCAGCATCACTGTAAGCTACTTTGGCAATCTTGCTTTTCCAAAAAATATTTGAGTACAATACAATCAATTTCAATCAGCTGCAGAATCAAAATATTTACCTATGTTTTTCAGTCACTGTAACATATGTATCTTCTTTATCTGATCAATACAGGGTGAGAGCAGAAAAGGAGGCAAGAAACAAACTGAGAGGGAGAAGAAGAAGAAGATCCTGGCTGACCGCAGGAAGCCTCTCAATGTTGATCACCTGAATGAGGATAAACTGAAGTATGACAAAGCTGTCCAGGGTTTTCTATTCGAACATTGTCTCAAAGGTTGCATTATGACATCCGATTGTTTTGTGTTTAGGGAGAAGGCCAGCGAGCTGTGGCAGTGGCTGATGGGACTGGAGGCTGAGAAGTTTGATTTGAGTGAGAAACTGAAAAGACAGAAGTATGATGTAAGTCATCCAACACACAGCTGGAAGTGCTTCAGTGATGACGTCTTAGATGGCAAAACAAGTGAAAGATCAGCTTCAGTCATGATGAAAATCATACAAAAACAGAACCTGAAAGAAACAGAAATATTATTATAAGTGTTCCATCTTTTTCTAGTTATTTAAGGGATATATTCTTGTAGAAATGACTTGGTGGACCCTGTAATGTAGTTTGTCCCCACTGTTGAGACAAAGAATGTAAAGGGTACAATTTAAATGTATATTCAAAGGTTAAAGGTAAATATTTATATGTAAAGCTTACCTGAGCCAGGATGTCACTGTGATTTCAGTGCGCCTATATTTTACTGCCGAGGTTTGAGAATAAAGTTGACAAACTTCTTATCATGATCACTGTTCACATAGAAGATATAGGCATCATATAATTTGTCATCTGAAGATATGGGGCCACTTTAACGGTTCAGAGACTGCAATAACAGCAGCTGTGTGGCCATCTGAGAAAGAGATATCTTAAAATAAGCATAAAATAATCAACCAATACTTAAAATTGATAATCACAAACTACAGGAATATGGATATGTTGGGTATAAGGAGGGTTTTCCAGGTGCCAGGGTTCTGTTAGCAACCTCTGCTGGACATGTCTGGTATCTGTGTTCTTTAAAATGCTTAGCAAGCTTTGTGTGTCCTTGCAGATTAACCAGCTTCTGGCCCGAGTCCAGGACCACCAGAGGTAAGTACACAAACCACTATATGGATTTACTGTTGGTTTTCAGTTAGACTAGATGCTGGGCTTGTCTCTGTCGTAATTTTCTCCTTAGATTGTTTACCATCTAGTCTAAATCTTCACTGAACTAAACAGATAAATATTTCCTTTATGCCAATTTATACTTGTACCACTTCACACTTTCTATTACTATTATAGACATGGATGCATCAGAGACCACAGAGTACTATCATTTAAGTATATTCTTTGAATGTTAAAACACAAGATACTCAAACAGTAGTTTAGTTACACCCATCTATGAGGCAATCCCTCCCCTCTCAATCATTTAAGTTTGCATCTAAGTTGTGTCTGACAAGCTCTACAATTTTAAAGGAGTACTCTGTAACACGACTGCAGCAGCAAGTTGCGACACAGCCATTGCAAAAACAGCTCTGCAGAAGTTGCCCAATTATTTATGGCTGCATACTTTTGATAAATAGCATGAACAGGACTCTTTCAAAACATCAGAGGAAAGAAACTGTGCTTTTATTTGTAACGTCATTAGGGACACACATCCTTTACCATATTCTTACAATTCTGATTCAAGCAAAACTTATTTTATGTCAGAAAAGTGGCTGCAAGCCTGAGAGCTACTATGCTGCAATCTCCAGAAACACTGTGTACCGTCATAATGCCATTTGCAGGAAGGATATTCGCACATGGGGACATTTTATTCCTTCTGTGTGAGCTTGTCTTGAAGGATTAAAAACATCATGTGGTTCGGGGTGGGGTTTCTGTTTTTCTTACCATCAGTATTGTACAAACCAAACTACACCCTGTTCACACACTTTTCTTGGTTGATATGCTGAGTGCTGCAATCGAATGCACCCCATCTGTGCTAAACTCACTGTCTTCTTTGCTTTACCTGCACACTTTCAGCGCCAAAGGTCGCGGCAAGGGCAAGATGGGTGGCCGGCTGAGGTAAAGGAGCAGCCAGACGGGGACGAGGCAGACCGCCACACCAGTGATTGGCCTATGTGTCTATTGTGTGTGCATTCATTCTTCTGTTGTGTTGGGTTACATGTCAATTATCATGACATCAAAACAATAAATAGGTCATTACATCCACTCTGCTGCCTCTCTGCAAACTATGCAGGTTGTCTGTTTTCTGTCTCACATACAGTACATAACACGTTTATACAAAATCTTAAGCAGCTTCTCTAACAGCTCACTGAAACCTCAAATAATGTTATCTTGTTGAATAAGGTAAACAAAAACACAAATACGGGTCTGATGTAATGTAATCCATACCATATAATGCTTTTACTAAGAGGAAACAGTGTAAAAATGGTGGAGTACTTTCCTAATAAAAATACCGTAAGTGCAGTTCTTTGGAACAATTAGCAGCAAACACACATTTTGTCAACATCTCATAAAAGACGACATGATAAAGAGAGCATCTACATGTAGCGTGGGTTTGTTATTTCTAGCTTTAATTCAAATCTACATTAAGAGCAGACAATCCTCAGCAAGGCTCCACATAGTGGTGATGCATAACATTATCTATATATTGTTTTAATCACATAAGAAAAAATAGAATAATCTAGGGCAGGAGCATGTGTGATGCCGATGGCGAGGGACCGATATGTACTGCCCTTCAATAAAGTCATTAAGTCCTTACTGTACATTAAAACTATGTTTCGATATACACATATCCACACCAGTGCATTTTCAACTTGTTCCGTCTCGGCAGTCTGAGGTGCTGGGAGACTCAGCAGGGGTTACAGAAGGGATCGATGGTCCAAGAGGGCGAGGGTCCATGTGGGATGAAGAGAGCCTGCCGAAGAGAGGCCGCCCTCACCACATGTGGGTTTCTCTGATCTCTGCTATCACCTGACCGGCTTTCTGCAATGCCTGGGTATGAGACAAACGGATGAAACCGTGTAAATTCAACAACTCTGTCATGTTCATACTCTACGCACAGCCCTTTTTGTGTACATATTGGGGTACATTGTTTCTACATCATCTAGTACTTATACACTGAATGTACAATATTATTTGAGACATCTTCCTATTATTGAATTCCTTGAAATTGTCTTAAGCTTTTAAATCCTTTAATAAGGGAATTCAATAAGGGAAGATGGTCTTGATTTACTTCTGAATACTGAAGAAAGTTTAAAAACATGCCTGTTGAAGGTCCATGACCAAAACGCTGTGTCTCTAATAAAGTAAGTAAAGTAAATGTTTCATTTAGCAGTGTATGATTGACACTGGACAATGGCTTTGCACAGTGACACTTGATGGATCTGTTACCTTGAGCATATCAGCAGCCTCGTTGCGTCTCTGAGCCATGTCCTCGGACTCTGTCAGCAGGTCGTTCAGCAGGGCCGTCTTGTATAACTGACCCACCAGCTCACTCTGCAGGCTGTCCTTCACATGGTTCACCAGGAAGTGCATCACTGCCTTGGGTACACTGAGGCCAAACAACAACAACAGAAGGGGAAGTCAGATTAAAGAAGAAGGACAGGAGAGGACAATAAACCCTTTAAGAAAGATGTCAAAATCTCAAAATGAGACGATGATGGGTGAAAAGAAATTGTGCAGCGTATGTGTACCTGTCCTGGATGTTTTTCCGAACGATAAGGAAGTATGACTTGATGAGTCTCTCGATGACCTCACAGTCCCTCTGCTCCCGAGCAGACAACTTCCTGGATACTGGAACAGGCTGGCAATGAAAGGGCACATGTGATTGTTAATGAACATCTTAATGATCTAAGATGCAACCTGGAAAATGCATACACAAACAAAGGCAAAAGCAAGAATAAAACTGTTCAGTGGGGCGCATACTAAAATATGTGAGTATAATATATCACCAAACTAACATTACGAGCCAGGGACCAAACCTATTCATTCAGTCTTTGAATGCAGAGTACCCACCACATCTAGCAGGTTGACAGCGTAGCCCTTCTGTTGGCTGGAAGCGAAGTGGGGTTGGGGCATCGCCCTGTCTCCAGCTGCATTTTCCTCTCCTCTCTTCAACATGCCCCTCCAGTTCCCCGTCCCGCTGTCTGTCTGCTCGGGGACAGAGCCACTCTGAGAGCCACCAGCTGCTGCCTACAGGGAGGAGAGAGACGGGGGGTGAGGATATGTCCGGTAGAATAAATGCTCAGGAACTTTAAAGGGTTGGAAATGTGACATGTGCATAAGAAGTCAGAAACAGAGGTTAAATCAACAAGGTTCACAAAACAAAAATGAAAAAGTATATTGTACAGAGATTAAAATATATATATGAATTCTCAAAGTGCATTCAAATTGCATGCCATGGGACTTCTTTGACTTCACTCCAAACAAGTTCAATCAAAAGAAGTCTGATAGAAAATACTGACAAGCAGTATGAAAACTTATACCACCAAGGTTGAGGGATGGCGGACATGACAGGAAGAGAGATTTCTAAACTGGTAGATTGTGCTATACAATTTCAGCGAAGGTGGCCACTCTTTCATTTCTGGTCGTTAGGCCACTGTGGGCAATGTTAAAAAGAAATCACCATGCTCATTGGATTTACAGGATTAGATCTGTGATTGGTATTGTATATTCACAGGATTAGCCAATTAGACATTGCCATCTGATTATTTTACATAAATATACATGCATTTTTCATCACAATATATATATATATATATATAGCCGTTATACCACATGTATTATCATAGAAAATGTTGTTCACATCACCCACACCAAAGCTAGTACAGTTTTTCAATATACCTTTTTCACAGCCATTCTGACATGTAATAGTAGGATAAACACAGGTGTTACCAATGACACTAATTAAGGCTCACTTCCATTCAGGTCAAACAGAGTCAGAGTGCTGCTTTTGTGCATGTTGGCTCACTGGAAAGGCTCTGTTACATGAAACATGAAGGACCTTAGTTAGTTTTCATTTGTCTGCTATAAAAAAGGTCTATTGAGTCTGAGGTTAATGCGTTTCTTCTGTCAGGGCAACCCCCAAGCAGAAAAAAGGGTTAGATGTTCAATATGCAGTAGAGTGGAAGTCAGTGGTCAGATCAGTCAGTCAGTTTATGACGGGTAAAAACTGCCCCGTCAACCCACTGAACACTGAAGAACAACCACCCGCTGCAACACGGGTTTTAGAGTCATTCAGTACGGGCTTGGGGTCGGAAAGAGGTCAGATGTGAACAGGCAGCGACTGAACGAGACACACCTTGGCAACCTCACTCTCGGGGGGAGGATGGTCGGTGGGGGAGAGAGATTGCCCACCTGGGCCTTTAAAGGACTACAGAAAGACAACATCAGGAAGAAAAGATTGGACAGAAAGCTGACAGGCGCTACATGCTACAAGTGCTTGAGCTTTGCACAATGTGGGAAAAAACTGTGTAAGATTTAATCAAAAAAAGAACAGTTTTGATGTTAGTTAGTTCTTTAGTGAAAGAGGATCAACTTTATATGCTTGAGTGGTAGAAAATGTGTTAAACCCTGTTACAAGAAATGAGAAGAGTAGTAAATCTCATGCATGCTGACTGTACCTTGTCTCTGGGGACACCAGCAGGGAGGTCTCTCATTCTGTTGCGTCTCTGCTCCTATAGAGCGAAAAGTTTAACAACCAACTCCGTCAAATTGAAAAACTGTTTCAAATAATACTGTCATTTTGTTTTGTTATGTGCTCTGCTAGTGCTGTTCAATAATATGACCAATGCTCAGAAAGCACATATTTGTACAGTTAACATTATCAGCCTGAGATTTTGATTAAGGATACAAAAACACTGTATTTACTGAATCATGTCTCATGTAACTTTCATGCTCATCTCTTACTTCTATGTTATTGTTCATGAGGCCGCAGGCATCAGCAAAGTCTGGGTGCTTGGTGTTGATGTAGGCCAGCTCAATGGCAACCAGGTTGTGAACCTAAAAAGAAGTTCCAAAGTTGATTAGAAAGCTAACAAACTTCCCATTCAAATTCTTAGTGGTATTTACTGTGAGCAGTTCCTGACCATTTCATTGGTGACAGGGAGTCTTTTTCTGAGTAACGAGGTGACCACTTCTACTATGGCATCATGGAGCTTTGGAAACCTCAGCAGCTCCTGCAGACATAAACAATAATCACTTTAGGTATTATTCACTGCAGTTTTTGTATTTACTGCATACTGGAACTCTGTCATTTAGTTTTTAAAATGGTGCATGTGTGAGTATTTCTCACCTGTGTGCTGTAGTTGCTGCAGTGTTGGATAATCCTCTGCATCTCCTCATGGACCAGCTCCACGCAGCGCAGGCTGGGCTCCTCCAGACGCTTGACCTGCCGCTTCACCAGCAGCTCAAAGGAAACCTCAGGCACAAATAAAGCAGGCCTTGGGCCCTGTTAAATACAATTACATTTATTTACATCTTCAAAAAGGTTTCATTTAAAACAGAGATTACATCCTGAAGAGGTAGCAGCAACCCACCGTTGCATTTCTGATTGCTGTGAGCACATCGATGGTTGTCAGACCGCCAAGAGGATCAACCGACTCCAATGTGCGACCAAACGTTTCATGAAATATATAACAGATTCTTGCTCCACCACATCTGAAGAAAGAGGAAAGCAAACACCATTAAACATACAGGCAGCATTTTGTTTAAGTTGAGCACTTAGGAGAGTAATGACGCTAGCACCCCTTGGTGGTGTATGAAGGTAAATGCAGTTCAGAGTGTTGTGTAACTCACAGTTCAGCTGTCTCAATGTACTTGGCTGTGCCCTCTATGGTGTGGCAGTACTCTGCAGCAAACTTGGTGATGAGCTGCAGCAACGTGGAGCTCTTGTCATCGACAGGTTCACCGTAACTGTTGAGTAGAGACTGATACTGCGCTGCCAGCACGTTGATCCTCGTCTTCAGCTCAGGAAGACAGTCTCTGATGTGGTGCATGAGTAACCTATGATAACATTAAAGAAAACAGCTTATGCTTTGATTGTAGACTACATTAGTACGTTTACATGGACTATTTAGAGGTCACTGTCATATGTTCCACTTTGTCAGAGAGGGAGTAAAGCTCAAATGTACACGGTCCATTAAATTAAGAAACAGTTTCTAATCAAAGTAATAAACAAATTCCAACTCGATACCTGTTCAATGTTCTGGCCAGATATTTAGTTCCATTCCTGTTTGCAAGGGAGGGGTACTTCTTTTGTAGGAAGGCGTATTCATCCCGGATTGAATCTGCCACCAACTTCTTCTGATTGATATCCAACTGACTCCTAAGAAATGCACAAACAAAACATATTTGCCTTAGTTGGTCTCAGACGTGGCTTTTTATTATTGACACAAACTCTCAGATCAAGTGTATAAGAATCTGGTGTAAAGTATTACATTTTTCAACATGGTCATTTGGTATGGAAATCTGAATGTTAGAAAAACAATGAAATTGTACAACAGCAAATATAGCTAGTAAAATAGTCCCAGATGCAACCAAATGAGAAATATAAACATTATAATGATTATAATGAATATAATAATCTTTAAAGTAAAGAGATTTTACCTTCAGGGAAGTAAGAGCTACTACTTCCACCAAGGAAGTCATGTTTTCAGTGTTTGGTTTTTTGTCTGTCAGCACAATTGTCCACAACCTGCACAATAAAGTTTCTAGTTTGTTCATTACTAACTAACTAGCTAACTAAGTGCATCACAAAAGTGCAGTGTTACCTGTTAACTACTCCAATAATCCCCAGTTTGACAGGAATGACTCTGCCCATTAATACATCCATGGCATCTGTACCAGCATCCATCAGATCCAGCTTAGTCACCACTGCTAGTGTCCTCCTGCCTGAGGACAAAGACATACACACCTGGTTACAAAAAACACCTCTGAGGCAGGAAATGCAACAAGTATGTGACTCAAAAGACAAGGTCAAAGGTAATTTACCATCTGTGTCAACCTCGCGAGCTACTTTAAGGGCCTCTGAGGTCGCCATGTCTGTATTGGCAGCAGTCACAGCCAGGATGATTGAGTTGGGGTTGGAGATGTACTTGAGGATCAATTCTTTGATCTGGATCTCGATGTCTTTGGGCTGGTCTCCCACTGGTACCTGTTTTAATAAACACGTGTTATCTGCAGGATCATTTTGAGTTTGTAGAATATGTTTCGAATATGTGGAAGTCAAAAGTAAACGTAGCTCACCTTTGTAATACCCGGAAGGTCAACCAACGTGAGATTCACAACGTGTGGTGAGAAGATTTTCAGGTGAATGGGTTCATCACTAATACCCTGTAAAAGAATAATTCTTCAGTTACTCTTACAGACTGATGTTTCTTCAGAGGTTGACTCAAAATCCCAGGTTGATGCTGACTGTTAAAGATCATCCAGTTTCTCCGTGGGCATAATTTCCTGTTTGGCAATCACTCTTAATGATCTTAATTAGCATACCTTGTTATTGCCAGAAATTCTTTCAGTTTCAGCTTCAATTTCTTGCCTGATCTCCTCAAAGTCTGTGTAGATCTGAAAGAACAATTTAACAATGAAAGGTAAAGACTCCAGTGACATCAATGTCAATGTAATTCCTACAGTACATTTTTCATCATCATCAACCAACAACAATTATAGGGAAATATTCATAAAAGTCACTATAACGAGGTTATCATAAAGGCTTCTTTGTTCAAACATGAACTATGTGGAGCTCAGCAGACACATTTTAACTTTGGACATTTGGCCTACAGCCATATAAATATTCTTAGCTACTGAGAAGGTGTGTGCATGATCTCATTAGAGATATTGTTGTTGTAAACATTCCCCAGTAGCTAATCTATAAATGTCAGTGAATCAGCACATAACAACGCCATTTCATGATCATACCCAGTTCATCAAATGCTTCTATATACAGTGCAGCAGTGGTGGGAAACTGGATCAACAGTATAATTTCCTGGGACAAGAGGGTAACAGCTCTACCTTGTTTTTGGTGTGTAGGAATTTACCCCACTCCTCTCCGTCGATGCCTGCAAAGATACAAAGTCGAGGACAGATGTTTCAGTCACTGATGTGACAGATGTGGCTTTAAGTTCAGTGTTACTATTTTTACTACTGCTATGGTAAATGTCTCATGGGAGGATTTCTCTGTTGGCAAAAACATTATGGAAAAACTCCTCAGACCACAGCTGAAGAATAAAAAAAACAAAAACAAAAAACAACAGTGAAAAAACTGCTGTTTCAGTCATGGAAGCAAATAAAAGCCTAAAGCAAAGCAAAAAAAAACAAAAAACATGTGCGCTTTGGGTGGAAGACAAAATATATATTTCAACTGCAATAATCAGCATTGCGACAACGACGAGGAAACAACATTACAAGGGTGGAATCTGTTAGTCATCTTAGAGGAAGCTAGTATTTGAGGCAATTATAGGTGAGCTGTGAGGAAGTTGGAATCAGTCAGTTAGTGACTTAAAATGTAAAACTAATCACAAAATGATTATTTTTGACAGAAATCTGCAAATTTTCTTTGTCTAACTTCAACTGACAGAGACCAGCCTAAATCGAGGGGAGGGCTTGAGCTGAGTAAAGTGAAGCCACATGGTTTGGCAGCTTTGGAAAAGCTACAAAAATACAAGGCAGGATGGGGCTGAATGGGCAAAAGGAACGGAGGAGGTTATGTAACGTATAAACACAATTAGGTAGAGAACAAGGAAAAGGAGACCTCTGTAAAGGCGTCCATTTTTCTTGGAGTCTGTGGTTAGGGAAAGATGACAGGAGACAAAAGGGTTAGCCTGGCTATCTGCAGCGCTGCACGACACTCTGATACGAGTCACTGTGAGGCCACTGCCAGAGGAGAGCGCTGAATAAACGCAGGACCTTGACACATTTTTGCCCACAGTTCTTTTCACTGAGAAGTGGATGGTATCAGTGCTGATTCTGACTTACACTGTTTCCTTTATTCCTTTCATAACATAAAAACAATCCATAGCACCGTAGTCTCATGGCTAGAAGAAAGTGTCAAAGATCTCCATTAGATTTAAATCTTGTGATCAAATCAGTGAAAGTGAAACATACTACATAAGCTGACTTTGCTCTTTGTACCTGCCTGTAACTGAAACACACAATACATTCACTTAAACACACAGGTTTATTGGTGAAGTATACTAACTACTTTGTTTATTGCTACATTTCCTGATATGGTTTCACCAAAAACACCAAATCACGCAAAATGCGTATTAGAGCGAGGCTTTAATCGGCCAGACTAATATATACACATCAAATCTGAACATTTGGCTGAAAATAACAACAATATATATATATATGATAAACAATATATCATTATCAGAACTCCCAAACCTCTAAAATCCAGGACCAGTCTGTCTTTAACACACATACAGTACATTGTGTATAAAAGGTCATGTAGTTTGTCGGAGAAGATTACTATAGAACAACTACACACATACAGAAGTAGAATAGAGGTGACAGTGACGTTACCATTCTCTTCAGAGGTTTTCCTCCGGTCCTCCGGGTCGATGTGCACTAGCTGTAGGATAAGCGGTCGGCGTGTGACGATGCCGGTGCCGCGTGGCAGGAGGTCCCTGCCGACCAGGCTCTCTAAAACTGAACTCTTCCCACTGCTCTGTAGACAACAACAACAACAACAACAACAACATCGTAAACAAAACCAAAAGTGTGAATGACTCAGTGAACGGAGAAATCACACCTCCCATTGTGCAGCTAAAGACAAAACACACTGACTGCACTGAGAGTCGACTGTGTTTGACGTCACTTCTCTGCCCTGTTGTTATCACTGCAGGTCTCTTTCCAGGGGACGAGGAACCGTTTCAGGAACCCTAAATACACCAGAACAACCAGGGTCTAACTTCCTGCTTTTTCAGACGGCCCAGGAACTATCGGGGCAAAGTCGCTCACTGGTCGCACACAACCCTTGTGGCTGCTCCAACCTGTGCACTCATTCACACAAGCGCTGGGTGCAACTAGGAAGACATATCTGGTTTTCTTGACATGTGTGGTAGAGTAACTCCTAATGAGATCTGGTGAACTGAAATACCTCACTTAGCTCACTTGGCTAGCAGATTCCTCTTAAATGGACTGATACTGGTGATGAGGGCTTAAAATGTTATCAGTTACTTCCTCCGTAGCAGTAAACCTAACGCTGTTTCGGCTGATATAGGTCTGGCCTATTTATAGACCTGACTGGGATAACCCGTTATTAATACTTGGTCTCTGTTACAGCTGTCCTTAACTGAAGGTCTTTGGAGATCTGGGCCTTTGTGGAGCTCTGGCAAGGACAAACATAACAAATCAGGCATTTAAGGCATCCTCTGGCTTGTGCTGTCTCACTGTAACACCCTCAGCCGCCTGCCAAAAGGTCTGAGACAGTCACATCCTATTAGCTGACAGCAGTGAGAGTAAACGTGTTCGACAAAACCTGCCACTTTAAACCAATTAGCCTCTAACGTGTACACAAGGTGGTTAGACGAACAGGGGGAAACTGTATTCGAGAATAAAGAAAAACATCATCATGGTCAGTCGAAAGAGATGCTGTTGTACTGTACTGTGTTGTGTTCAGGTGACTGTAACACTTTGTTCACCCCATTTATGTTAACAAGGGTAGACTACTAATAATATACCTGTGTAAAAATAAATAAAGAATAGGTTTAGCCAGGTGAACCCATAAAAGTGGCATATTGTTTATGCTCTATTGTGTGTGTGTGAATGGAGAATACATCCATTAAAACACCTCCTTGGTAATGTGAATGGTATGAGAAGATCAATGTGTTTATGTGTAGCAAGCCAAATCTAACCAAAGATAAACAGAGTGTAGTTTAGTGCCTGAAGGCTGCGTGGTTTGATCTCTGGCAACCTAAACAATGCTAGGTTGAGCTCAGCTGTAAGTGCGATCACATGTAGCGAATGCTAACTAAGTGTCTAAATGAGTTCACTTACATTTCCCACACACACACACACACACACACACACACACACAAAGGGGGTGAAGCTAACGTAACATTTACACAGCCAACGCGGCTTTGTCTATCACACCTGCATGAAACTGAAAGAGAAACTGGAGTCAAACATCAGCAGCAGCCAAAACAATAAGTTGGTGCAGGCTAACTAACTGGCTAGCCTTGAAGCAAAGTGACGTTTCTCACCTGAGTTCCCACCACAACTATCTGCGGCAGCTGGATAATGTCTGCGCCGACCGTGTTAAACACATCCTGCAGTTTGTTTATCACAGGAATGAGGGCCTCCATGAGCTCCGATGTGAATCCCGACCTGTCAAAAATAGGCTACTTTCTTCCCCCTGTCGCACAAAGTCATTCAATGTCCCACAGCTAAAGCTACTGGCGGCGCCTGGGCTCTCTTCGGATCTGCCAACAACTGCGCAGACAGTTGCTGCCGCGTTGAATCATGGGAGTTTGAGTTCAGGAGCGTCCCACTCAACGGCAAAGTGTTCGGGGTTTGACTTTTGATGAACTACATTTCCTAGAGGTGTCTCGTATTGTGCCGATGAAAAGAAAAAAGAAAGACCATTATTTTTCCTCTACGCAACAGTAACTATGGTGAACGTAAAAATATTTATGGGGGTGCTGCATTTATGAGGGAACCGGCACGACCTGTTTTTTATTTTATTAATTTTTTTAATTATTCTATATTTTGGGACTGCCGTTTATATTACAACAGAACACCTGTAGTTTAATTTCCTTTTCTTCATAAATAAATAAATAGTCACGAGGATATCTGAGAGGAAACTATCAAAATCAGTGAGGTTTAGTAAAATAAAACAGCATTATGCAATCATTACTTAACTATTACTAATCATTACTACTCTGTAAAGGCCTTTCATAATTTATACAATATATTATAATGCTACAAAATGTTTATAAAATGAATGAAACGTGTCAGATGTTGGCTCTTTTATCTAAAATGTGAATTCTCACTCTTACACAACATAGAAAACACCTCCACAGAAGGAAGCTCAGTTTGGTCTCTAATTTTAATCCTAAAAACACATTCTTTAAAATGATACAAAATTGAAAAGTGCCATTGAATATTTACAACACTAGTAATTTAATATTGCACGCTGCAGTGTAAAAGGAGCACGTCACTGTATAGAGTTCAGTTTTGAGGTAACAAATGATATATTAGGAGAACAGTATGTACCAGGGGTTTCATCTATTAGTCACAGCTATCACAATATTCATTCAGTATGCTAAACATTGATGCTTGTATATATTTATACATACATTATTTCTTCAGCATTGTAGCACTGCAGTATTCTTACATTTTATATCAATTTAAAATATTCCTGCACATTACACATTTTTAAAAAATACAAACCTTTGTGACTAGTAAAATTCTTAGTAATGAAACCTCTAGTATGTACTGTAGTCAGCTTACAGTTCATTAACAGTTCACAGGTTTACACAGAAAATTCTTTGTAGTTTGTCTGACATGCCAGTCAAATGCTTTTAAATACCCATATTTGAGGATTTTTGGTTAAATTTCAAGCACTGTAATGATAAATTCTGATTTACTACTGTAATAAAATATTAGTGAAAGACTGATTCTGAATTCAAAATTGATTGAGGCTTTTAAATTATAAAGATGGCCTCAATATAAATAAATAAATATCAAAATATTCAACAATTGAACATTATAGGATTCACACTTAGTTGTATTAATCGAAAGGCAAACTAATCAGTCTTCATCCCACCGCTGTAGATATCTTTTCTACCTATATTTTCTTTACAACTGAATAAATGGAGATTTAACCACAAATGCTCAAATATATAGATGTTCAAAAAATGTGACTGACAGCGTCGAGGACATGAATATTTCAACAAGATGTGGAACAAACACCAGTTAAACAAGCCAACACGTGGAGGCTCACAGATTTCGTTGACATTGCTCCCCATTTCACAACCATAAGCAAAACTCCGCTGGCTGCTATTGTTTCGAGCTTCACTTGTGTTTTGAGACCCACAATGGCAAAACCTATACAAAAGAAACTAAAAACTGTACAAAAGAACAAGGTGAAAGTAGTGATGAACTGACACGTTGATATTCCCGTGCCAAATTCCGTATCATTGTTTTATTTTTCCAAAACAGTAAAACATAACAAATTCCACTATCAAAAAAAAAAGGTGCTTGAAAATACTCGCTGCCCGCTTACTTTAACAAGAAGTGAAAAACTACTACAATCATGTACAAGTCCATGAGCACACACGGGGAATAGCTTGAACAAAACATAGCTTATTTGAATTTAGACTTCAAGCTAAGTAAACTGAGTGGTCACTGTCATTAAGTGCCTGAATGTCAGATATCGATGTCACTGTTCAAACTTCACAGCATTTGAACCAAGTGGCTTTCCATTACCAAATCAATACAACAGTATTGTATCCCCTTAAGGCCATTTTGAGTCAGAGGTCATTTTACCTTGCACCTTAAGATGCAGTACAGTCTGTGTATGTGGTTACCATGTTTCCTCTGCGCTGCGTCACTGTCCTACAGTGTTGTTTTGATGCACCATGAAATCTGTTTTCAGTCTGTGCCGTGTGTCCGTCAAAGCTAAACATTTTCTCTATGTCATCAAACACGTCATCAAAGATACCGGCACCAAAACCTCCTTGAAAGTGTCTCTTATGTCTGCTGTGGGACTCCTTGTGGGACCTGGAGTGCTCCTCGAAGTGTCTTCGGTGACGGGCGTGCCTGTTCTGGCTGTAGATGTCAAAGTCCTTGAAGATGTCATCAAAGTTGAAGGAGTAAGGTTGGTGGGCACCCTGTCTACGTCTGCCTCGTGTCTCCCCAGTGAAGTACGCAGAGGTGTCACTAAACTGGTCGTATTCTCTCCTTCTGGTTTCATCTGATAAAGTTTCATAAGCTGCACAAAGAAAGACAAGATTCAATCAGTGACAAAGGCCTAACTAAGGTCATGACACGCTCAAACATGTACATTTAACATTATCTGCATTAGAAATCTGAATAATATTGCAGTACTTTTGGAAAGAATGATTTTTTTAATACACATTCTCTGAAAAAGATAGAACCGATTATACCTTCAGCAATTTCCCTGAATCTCACTTCAGCGTCTGGGCTCTTGTTCTTATCTGGGTGATATTTCATCGCAAGCTTGTGGAAAGCCTTCTTTATCTGTCGCTCAGTAGCATCTTTAGGCACTCCCAGTATATCATAGTAGTCCTTCTTGGCAAGTATCAGCTCTGTTATCATGAGGATGCACACCGCAAACGTTACGGCAGACTGCGCCGTTGCCATGGCTCCGATGTCCCCTGCATTCAAGAGGGGAAATGATCAGTTAGTAACGAGGAGTGTGTGTTGCATCCAATAAAGCAAAAGGAGTTTTAATTAGTGTTAATACATCTGAAAACCTTGGTTAATAGCTAGCGTTTAGATACAATATCACACAAATGATCTTATCTAACTTGATGGCATCGCTATATTAACTACAGTGACCTAACGGAAACTAACGTTAGATTACATCATGTGAACTGGCTCTAACGTTAAACGTTATATTTGACCGTTCCATCGCAATGTCGTCACGTCAACCGTCACTCCAGCCGTTAGCTAGCTGCCGTTGGCTAACACAAAGTGTGACCGTTAGATTCCCCGTTTCTAACCCACACTGACCGTTGGAGGGAACCTCAGCTGGAGTACTGCACGGCCGTCTGTGGACTGTTTACCCAACGCTGAGCATCACAGCGATAAGTTGTAAGGTCGATAGTCTGAGTGCTATCGAGAGCCGGTGGTCACAGGCAGCATCATTAGCGTCTTCTTCTATCCTATTATTGTAATAAGGTAACTTAAGTAACGTTAGACATTTCTGCCCTCTGTCGGCCATTGCTGTTCATGTTCCTGCCTCAACTGTCCCAAAGTGACCCTGGTGTTGTTCGTGTTAGCATGTAACGCTAACTAACGCCACTTAAGTTGCTTTTTTTATATAAATATCAAGTCTTACTACTACTACTTATTACAATATAATAGTATAACGTTACTAACTTACACATACTGTTATCGTATAGCGTTTTATTCACATTTTAAACTGTTTGGGTAAAGAGTAGTCGTCACACGTACAAGCGTCTGCGTTCCATTTGTTTATGCCTGAATCCCGTGTGATCCGTAGAAGGGTGGAGACCTGGTTTTATCAGTTGGTGCTGACACCGCAAACCCAGGAGTGGTTCGGCGTACGCCGGTTGATGTTGTAAACAGTTTATCTTAAAGGCGGGGAGAATTTCCTCAACCAATCAACAGGCTCCATTTAAGGGGTCAAGCGATAAACAGCCAATTACAGAGTACATAGCGCGCCACGTGACCATTGTTTTTCTTTTGACTAACGTCATCACGTTATTCTGGAAACGGTGTCAGGTCGAATGACCGTATGTATACCTTTTATAGCGTTAGTTTTGTTTTGACGTTAACGAAGGACGGCGACTTAATACAGATAATACAGGATTCCTGGCTTTCATGATCGACGACATAAAGACACTGGTATGGTTTATGACGTTTTGTGTGGCCTTTATTAATGCTGGCGAGTTAGTTAGCTGCGGAGCTAACAGCTAGTGGCTGGTGTTGTTGTTATTCTGAGTAACGTTAGCTACAAGTTAACGCTGTTTTGTTGTCCTCTCGGCTAGGATCATTTACCAAAAGAGGTTTTACCTGTGAATAAAACTGAACAATGCTAGATTTAGGAGCAGCGTTAGTGTGTTTTTATTTCACATGTCACTTTCATCATTTTCGTGCCATTGGTTTCTTTCTGTCATGTGTACATTACTGGTTTTGTTTTTCATCGCCAGGTTAATGAAAAGGGAGAGCATAGACCTGCTATTACTTTGGATGGCACACACTATTGTGACTTGAAATAATGAGTCATAAATGGGCTCCACATTCCTGGGTGAACGTAAGCAGAGCATATCACTCGTGGCTTACAAATGCTCACAAGTCAGCAGCATCACTCCCCTTGTCTGGTACCTCTCCCTGCAGGGTTCATGTACCACAACCTTATTGCTACAAGGTCGGCTATCTCAGCTGGCGGCACATCCACCACCTGAGGATCACTGGGCGTAAAGGATGGCTCTTTAAAGCTAACCAGGTCCGACAAAGGCTTGGGCTCCACACCAGCACTCTTCATTTGAACACTTCAGCCTCACGTTGGTCCGCTGGTCTGAGCCAACACATGTCGCGGGTCAGGAACACACTGGACACAGTTTCTAAAGCTGTGAGCGGGACGCATACAGAACTTCTCTCCAGAATCGCCCGACTCAAGCCTAATGCTTTAAAGGCTGGGAAAAAAGCTGAGGCTAGCGTTGAGTTAACGCCAAAAGCTGAAGAGAATGCAGTCACACTTCACCCTGCTCCCATTAATGCTGCTCCCCCTTCTGCATCCACTACACCCAAAGCTGTATGTAACTCGTCTTCTGCCGGTCCATCTATTGCCACTACCGCTGCTACATTTGATGCCACTACCTCCGCTCACCCTCACAGTTCTTCCCAAGCGACTGCCACTGCCGCAGTTCTGACTGTGCGTGAACTCAAGGAGAAAAAGCTGAGACGCGTTGTTCCTGCGGTCAAAGCCAGTTGTGCCAGGAAGCAAGAGGAACTTAAACCACCGCCGAGCGATGCTGAGAGCAAGAACACAACTTCCAAACAAACCACGGCACTTTTCCATCCCAGCACTCTCTCAGTCAACCTGGATGAGACTTACAACTACCTTGCCCATCACATCAACTCATACTTTGGCAGCAGCGTAAAGACTCAGGACAAGAAAGTGGAAAGTGTTGACTACTCCCCTGCTCCCTCTCAGGGTCAACCAACCAGTGACCTCGTGTCAGTGTCTGATAAAACCGACTCTGCTGTTCCAGTTACACCACCTTCCTCCAGGAAGGGTTTGGGACACTACCTGTCCTACTCAGCTCCCACTGTACAAGCCTTTGTGGGAAGCTACATTGCTACCTTCGTCCCCAAGTTTAGGACAGCGGAGTCCAAAGCTGCTGCAGTGGAGGAGGAGAAGTCTGAGGATGCGCCAGTCAAACAGGCCGAGGCCACAGTTAGTAAGGAGCAGAAGGCTGCAGAGGAGAAAGCCAAGAAACTTCTGCTTCAAAGGGAGAAGGTAGGTCTTTTAAAAGCAATGTGTCGGGATAATAAAATCACAATAAGCTCATATTTTTACTGTGTTTTACTTTATGTATGTATGTATACTTTATGTAGATCTGATCATGCCTGTATCTTGTTATTGATCATAATTGTGTTCTTGTATTTCAGAAACAGATTCTATAAATATTTTTATATATATAATGTTTGAAGGAAACATGATTACCTCATCAGATAGTTCTTAGTGTCTGGTATATTATAGCAGGGTGGCTGCTCTCCACACGTTGACCGGTGTTGCTACTCTATACGTCTAATGGCAGTGTAGTGTGCTGACGTGTTTCCTGAGTTCTCGGTAATCTATGTTCAAAAATAACCCCCCTGTGGAGTTCGAGGGCCGCAGGAGGTATGCACTTTATAGTTTCTAGGCCAAGCCAAGCTTTTATGTTGTGTTGATATAAACACTGAGACATTCAGTTGCCAGGGTTGGATTGAGGTATAGTCGAGTTCTGTTGTTGCATTTCAAGTGCCAGACAAGAAATGTGTACCATCGAAGCACCAACATCTTGTTAATGGGACTGAAATGTCTGTTGACAACAGTTATTGCAGCTTCGTCACTAATCCGTTCATGATTTAACCGCCCTACACAGTTAATTGAATTTAGGGTCTGGTTTACATTTTGGCTCAATTTCAGGACCTTAGGAAGTTATTATAACCAACCAGTTTACTTTCAGATAATGGATAAATAAATGTGTTGATTACAGTACAAATCTGATACTCAATCAATAGCTGTTATAAATATTATATACAGACATGAAGCAATTCAAGATATTTGATTGGATTAGATTTTGTGGTCTGGTAATGTCCCGGGGAGTCATCAGCTTAATGTCAGTCCTACTGAGGACTGCATTAGTGTTGTTGTTACGTGTTTCTCACTTACTGCTTCTCCTTCTGATCGAGGAGGACATGAGACAAAACAATTAAACAACAATCACAAAATCAATTATTTATGTCAAATTGTAAAAAAAAATATAGAGTTGTGTTTTAAATGAGCCAGACAGGTCAGGTTTTAACAACCAGCTAATGTTTAATAGCTGGACCTCACTGGTTGCACATTTACTTTGTCTCGTAGATCATTGCCAGGGTGAGTGTGGACAATCGAACTCGGGCTCTGGTCAAGGGTCTCCACAGAGCATCAGACGTAAGAGTCTACATCAACAGGGTGGAGGACCTCAGCTACCATCTCCTGGAGTTTCCAGAGACGAGTGGTGTAGCAGTGAAGGTGAGAAACTCAACAGGCTGGCATTTTTTCTCCTTTTTTGCAGAATGTTAGCATATTGAGGCTTTGTCAGGAAATGATGCTGCTCAGCATGTCAAAAGCAACAGCTCTTATGCTGAGATTATGCTGAGACAGTGTTTCCAGCAGCATGTTTTTAATGCACACATGATGGTGTTATATGTGGCATGGATTATTAGAACAGCTGTAGCATGTTAATAATGTAGATAACGGCCTTCTGCTTGTGTTTGAGAATGTCAGCATGCCAGGGAAAATGTCAAGAGCCCAGCAACGACATGCAGACTGCATACTGCAGCTTTTATTTATGTCTCAGGCTTATCTGTGATGGTGTCAGTAATGAATTCAATGCTTACCTATTTCAATCCAAGGACACATTTACTGTTGTGAGGCCACAGTGGTGATCTGATCCACATTTGGTCTTAATGTGGTCGTAGTGTGAGGAAAAACGTTCCTCTGGCTTCACACAAACATTTATCTTATATAAATGTATAACTGATTGTGTTGGTAGTAGCTGTAAGGCATCGTGTTTTATCTACCTGTTATCATTTACTTTACATTTTACGCTGTGTAGCCAGAATGCCGGAGGCAAATTTCCATTTCGTGTAATGTAATGGACGATGCATTTTCTTATCTTATCTCAAGATTTTAAACGTGTGATCAGCCTTAAAACACCGTCACACCAATTTTTGCTCTGCTTTAATTTCAGTGAAGGTTTGATACGCAATCATTTTTTATTGCGAATGATCCCACCCTGTTTGCTTTGCTGAGTTTATCCTGATTAAACTATGACTTGCAAAATGGCAAAGCAGCCAATCTGAGAGAAACAGTGGGATCGACCTCTACATCAGGAAGCATTGATTGTTTGTGTCCTTGTTTGAGCGGCTGCATGCTGAAAGAAAACAAGCAGCAGGATAGAATCAACACAGGACACCTGGTAGTGAAAACAAATAGAGGGTAAATACAGCAGGATGTCCGATTTATTATTCTCAACTAGCAGCTTGTGTTCAGCTCGCAATTTTGGGCCCCACCGCCAGTTTGCCGTATGATGCAAGTGAAATTTGCCTCGTCCGACCACATCACGGTGGACAGATCATGTTTTTAATTTCCACCTCTGAGTGCCGCAGTATGTTTGTGTTCCACAGGAGAAAGTTATCCCGGGCCTACTGCGTTTGAAACAGGCCAGCGACCCAGGCCTGAGGGCAGCAGTGAGAGAAGCCCTTGCTCTGGTGGGCTACCATGCACCTGTTAAAGGCCGGGGCATACGGATCCTGTCCATAGATGGAGGGGGATTAAGGTACGCATTCAATTAGTTTTCTTTTCTTTATTGTAGAATATGAGTCACTGATGTCAAGTGTTTTCAAAGCAGAATAAAATAGCATTTACTGCCGTCACAACCATGTTTTAAAAAAGCAATTCACTGCTTCTGTTAGCAGCTTCAGTCTGTCAGGTAAATGTATTCTTGAGAAACGTTCAGTGAAATAGATAGAGAGTTATTTCCAATTTGTCTTTGTTATTCTAGTTGAAAAATGAATCGGCTGTCACTTTGTGGCCAATTTATGTTCTGTTGTCGTCGTCATCTATTTGATAATTTTTTTTGCGTGTATGTCTTTGTCTGACTCTGTATTTTCAGGGGGGTTCTTGCACTTCAGACCTTACACAAGCTGGAGGCACTGACTGGCAAACCCATTTACAAACTCTTTGATTATATTTGTGGTGTCAGCACAGGTACGTTGTCCTCCTTCCCTTCTTTTGTATGTGTGTGTCAGGATTATGAGAGCAGAATGCAACACTGATCACACACTGACCCATTTGTTGCGCTGCTTGTTTTGACCTCAATTTCAAAAACCCACACCGCTATAATGTTAATCCTGCTGCTTTCTACTCAAGTTAGGCCACAGTTCATTTATTTTGAGTCGTTCAAATTCTCAAATGGCTTATACAATTGTATTTATAAAATGACAGCGCTTCATTTGGTTTCAGGAATTGTCAGTAGGTGGATTCATACTTTTTCCCTGTACACAAATCACCACAAGGGGCTGCTGTGGACCCTCCTCAAACTGTCTCCATCTGTCACTTTTTGGTGTCATTTCTCAGCAGACTGAAAAGCTGCGTTTTATTTGGAGAGCACATTGGGCTTTAATCACTACCAGAAGTTTCTGTTTTTCCCCAGTTCCTATCAGTTCTCTCAGTCTTAATCTCCACCAGTTGGTGGTACTTCATCTTCACACTTAGTGAATTCTGTGTAGTGTAATTTAATCCACCTGTTAGATCAGACGATGTCCACACATATAAAACCCATCTGGACCACATCTGGCTAGTTTGATCACCCACATTATTCAAGTACACCCCATGTCTTCCCTCATAGCGCTGTGGTGGCTTGAAAATCCTGTCAAGTATCCTTAATCATGGAGAGAAAGTAGAAGTATTTGCCTATAGTGTAATATTCAATTTAATCCCATGCACTTCCTGTGGTGTATCCCAGAGCCTGTGGCGTGAGAACCACTGTCCTAGGGTGATGTCACTTATAACAGACAATTAGCCTTGAAAGTAACAGAAACGGACGGATTATCCAGGATTACTTGTTGCATTTCTAATTCCCAAAGTAATAACTGAAGCTCTTATATGTCCTGTTTTCAAAAAAAATATGATTTGTATGGTTTGTTTACCAGGGCTTCTTAGTCACTTTCCCTCTTTGAATGTTCGTATGTGTTTCTCCCTCAGGTGCTGTCCTAGGGTTCATGCTAGGTGTGTTCCAAATCCCGCTGAACGAGTGTGATGATCTTTACCGGAAGTTGGGTTCAGATGTCTTCAAGCAGAACGTCATTGTTGGCACAGTGAAGATGGGCTGGAGTCATGCTTTCTATGATAGCGAAGCCTGGGAGAACATCCTCAGGTCAGTTCCCTTCTCATTGAAGTGGTTGTGCTTAGGTAATGTGGAACCATGTTCAAAGCCCTCTTATTTCTTATGTTGAATATTTGTCATTGTCACTACATTATGAATGTAAACATACTGAAGTCAAAATGAACATCATGGCTGCTCTTTGTGTGACAGTACAGTTATTGTGTTATAATGCTCATGATCAGCAGCCATATAAAGAACACAGATTAAACACCTCAACACCTTTAAAACAGTAGAATATAACAGTAGATATGCAGTAGGATTTGGTAAAGCTTGCAGAAAGAAGTCATACTACTATCATAAATTCACTAATCCAGAAAATAACACCGTCCTATCTTCCCTTCCACAGAGAGAAAATGGGATCTCACCTCCTGGTGGAGACTTCAAGAAACCCTGAATGCCCCAAGGTGAGCGTTAGAAGACGGTCTGACTCATTCTTCCCTCTTGTTCTGTTCTGGCGCTGACCAGAGAGCCTTCGCCTCGCCTCGTTTACTTGGCTATTACAAAGGAAGCTCCTTTCTCTCTCTTCTCTTCTATCTCTGTCCTGCATACCCCTACATGACAGTGTGCAGTTCTTATGTCAGCAGATTCCTCTGAGGCTCACAGAACAGAGATGATATTAAATTGACCTGTCAGAATATCGGTCTAGATATTATGCCTGCGTTTTAGATATGTTTGGTTGTAAACTGCTGCCTCATGCTGAAAAAAAATCACGTTGTATGTCACTTCCTTTACCTGTAGGTGGCAGCGGTGAGCACCATTGTGAACCGGGGCGCTCTGAAGGCCTATGTGTTCAGGAACTACAACACGCTGCCCGGGGTGCGCTCTTACTACCTGGGGGGCTGCCAGCACCAGCTCTGGCAGGCCATCCGTGCCACATCAGCAGCCCCTGGGTATTTCCAGGAGTTCAAACTGGGCAATGATCTCCACCAGGTCAGTCCCACTCACAACCGTAACCGGTCAGCACTGGTCATGATGAACCAGTGCACAATTTATCTGCACTAGTGCCAATCAACTATTGATCTCTTTTATTGTATTTTTTTTTCCTCTAACCCAATTAATGCAACACCAAGCTCAACACAATGTTTGATACTCTACACTGTGAAGACACAAAATGAAAATGGGAGTCTTATGTCTGTGTTGCTTTTCGTGATAATTTCTTTCATTTATTTATCCAATGAATAGTCAAGCCCCTTAAATGTTTCACTTTTTGACCCATAACTCGAGAGGGTTATATTGTAAGTATTGGTAAAAAACACACACATTTTTTATCTTGTTCTATAAAACTGTTAAACGGTTTGGCCACGATGAAATGCAAAAGTCCAAACAAGCGCCGCATTCACCGCATATATTTACACATCTTGTGACAATTTAACTGCAATCCTCTGCTACAGTAATACAAGGCTTATTGTTGGCTGGCAGGATTTAAATGCCCTGTACGGTCAGTGTTGACGGTGAGTTTGAAGGATTTCGAGAAGCGTAATGAGAAAAATCCCCCGCACAGCAAGTGAGAGGGAGGAACTGCATTTCCGTCCTGTCAGTGTTTATTTCCAGTCAGTTACATTTTGACAGCAGAGTGAGGAGTGGAGTCGCAGTGAGACACACTTAAATCCATCTGCACTAAACAGATATGCATTAGCCATCCGTAACATAACAAACCGCCAGCGCACTCTACCATTTCACTGATCAATACGTATGGCTACCCTGTTTGCTTTTACCTTTTCAGCAAAGGCTTACTCAGTAAAGAGCACAGAAGAAATAAGGATCCACGAGTAGAGAATGAATAAGTGTAAATTTTGTTTTGTGTTCAGAACAGAAGTAAGTAATAATATATATATATATATATTTAAAGCACAAATGAAAACATAGATGCGTGTCATTACGCTCCTCTTCTGTTTGAGAATTCAGTTGATGTAGCCTGTGTTTGTTTGCCCACGTCAATATCTCCTTGAACTGACCTTTAAAACACAGTTGTGGCGTAAAGACAGACAAACTCAGCGTAGACACAGCACACGTGAATGAGCATGTGTTTGCATCAAAGGCAATATCCCGTGTCGGCACGCTCCTACACTCTTAATTGGAAGCTGTGTTAGTTGTGTAGGTGAATGGGGAAGTTCAGGGGGGAGAATGAAAGAGACTGGTTGATGAAAACCCATCTGTGGTGGGAGATTTCCCCAGCTTGCCGTCTAGCAGGTCTCCCCCTACTCTGAGATGCATAAATTAGCCCAATGCAGCGCTTCCTTCATCACACACCACTGTCTGACTGCTACATCTGCCTTGTTAGAATGAAAAGACAGACAATCTAATTATGGAACTGCTTTTCCAAACTCTGTTAACTGCCAGCAGGAAACCTCATACTGTGAGGAGATGAGACACCATCAGTAGTTTAATATATTTAACACTTTTGACGTGAAATCAGTTTATATATTTATTATTATTATCTGAGGACATATTATTTTCATTTTATTTCTGTCAAGTGAAAAACTGAATGAAATGAGAAAAAGACAGCTGCAGTCCTGTAACAAGTACTTTTCTTGCCCATCTCATGTTTTTCTCAGGCTAATAAATCTTTAGAGAATATTTTAAGGTGTTTTGCCTTGACTGGCAATTCCTGTGTGATTTGAGCTTTTGCTCATTTGTTCCAATTTCTATCCCTTTTTATTTTTGGACCCGTTTTTACCTGTGGTCACCTTGACTGAAGATATTCCACTGGTGTTTTGCTGCTTCAAATAACATCCCTAAGTTTTTAACATCAGAACATTAGTATTAACTATTAACTATAAACTTCTACATATTGTAAAAAGTAGAGTTTCCAGAGAGTCCAAATTAGTGCAAACGTTCAAATTACCCGAAGAGGTAAGAACAGAAGAAGAATAGGCACCTTATATGTGAAACAGAATTTCTGTGTTTTACTCACGAGTCTTTACAGCTTATTATTTCCCTCTGCCAGCTGCCAGAAATAAACACATTTATTTCCTTATTTAAGATCTTCTTCAGTCAAAAGAAATCACAAACTTATGAAAGACATAAAAAAGATGGAAATGAAAGTATTGACCAAGACTGTGAAATTTAATTTCATCGATGTTTACAGAAGCATCCTTTGTTCCTTTTATTTAGAAAAATTTAATTTATAAAGAGATGCTGATTTTAAAATAATAACTCATTTTCAGTGATAATGCAAATACTAATTTGCTAAAACTAATTTAAACCAAGATGAAAACACATAATAAATGTTTTTAAACATGATTGGTGTGTAATAGGATAAAGTCAAGCACAGCATTTATAATACGTTTTCCTGTGAACCTGGCCAGCTTCAAATTGCCACCCAGCCTGATGGCTTTATTTACTGGCTACTTGAGCCACTGAAACGAGTCGTGAGCATAACATTCTGCCTGTGTGATGTCGGGATTCCCTGGAGAGAGAGTCATCTCGCTCTTCTCCACAAACGCCCACAGAGCTTTCCACTTAATTCAGGCCCCAAAGACAATCATCCTTTTGTACGAATGAGCTCAGGAGTCACCATGCCATGTGCTGAACGAAATGCCGGAATTCTCAAGCAGCTTTTCAAGAAAGTTGTGATTGTTCGTTGATGTTTCTGGGATTGTGCAGGCGGGAATGAATGATCTGACGGAGCCAGATTCAGACTGGTAACGCAGGGGAAATTGTAACTTGGAGCGAGACCTTTGAAGCAGAGCAGCCATGGTTTTATCAAAGCCTCACATTTGCTACCACAGCCATGGAGAGGATGCCTTAGTGTGTGTGTGTGTGTGGGGGGGGGGGGATAGAGGCAATGAAGAGGGGGAGGTTCCACATTAAAGCTTTCTCAGTTATCTCTGCGCTAAAGAACACAGAAGTAGAAGACGTCAGACAGACAATGGATGCCAGGGCATGCATGGAATGGTGAGGAGGGCCCGATTTTTTCCGCCTAGTTGCCATGGTGTCTCCTGAGGCGATTGAGAGGAATGGGAGCTTGTTTTGTGCCCACCTCTGCCAGCATTTGATGGGAGGCATTGGATCAGTGGGCCACCAACCCCAGTGCGAGCTCTTGAGAGCCCCAACATGGCACAATGCTCAACAGAAAGACTTCACGCCGTCTGAAATGGAGTAGGTCACGTCAGCACTCCCATACTTTTTGTCGCTAATGAATGACACAGGGAATGAGTCATAAATGAATCTCAGAAGTCATTAAATGTGGCAGCTTTGGCTAAAGAAATCAGGCTCTGTGTAAGAAAAGAGGAGGAAGAGGCAGAGGGTCTCACATATTAACTGCCATTCAGTGCAGTTCAAGAAATCATAACCTTTTGTATCACCTTTTCCCCCTCTCAAAGCTTTTCCTTGTAAAGGCCACTGGTGGTGAAGTTATTGATCATAAATTACCTGCTCAGCAGCACCGCAGTGCTTCTCAGATGAGGCAGAGGAAAGGATAGGTGGTGGATTCAGGGAGGCGACAGAGAGTGTAAATCTGAGCTTGTCGCCCCTTCTTCCTCCGAGCCCTCTCCTCCTGTGTTAAGCCCCAGGAGTTCAGCCTGTAGGCTGTTGGAGGATGGAGCTCAGACTTGTGAGCTTCCTCCTCCCAGATTCAGGATCTTTGTCCCGTGAGTATAAATGGGCACAAATGGATTCGCTCATTGTCACTTTACCTCTGTTTCCTCCATTAACTGACTAGTCTTTTTACTCTGTTGTATACATATGCATTCCCACTTGATTGCACAGGCACACTTGTTTGGGGATTAGGCCAGTTCACTGATTATTTGAACTGACTTCTGTGTGAAAGCTTTTCCTCATCTTCCTCTGTCTCTAAACCCTTTGCCTTTTCACAGTGCACCACACTCTGCAGGCTTCTCACTGCAGTGGCTCCAGATGAGATTTCTTGAAATAAATCACAGTTTTGAAGGTTGCATTACGACGTATTGATATGCAAGTGTGTGTTTGTGTTCAGTCACCTGTCCTGTGCAGCAGGGAAATTAGCTTTAAATTCCCCAGCAGATTACTTATTATGATGGACAGAGGAATTACGCTTTCTAATATGAAGTTGTCAAATATAAAGCCCCAAGGAACCTAGACTGAGCAAACATGAGGGAGGGGGTTCTGCATCCATTTATATCACTGCAGGAATTGTCACAGTTTAATCTGAATGGATACAGCCGGCAGGGATGATTCATTGTTTCAATACTGTCTGCACGTGTGTGGTCACTGAATGTGTGGGAAAAGGTAACAGTGAACAGTAGATCTCAATTTATTTGCCTGCCCTGGGGCAAAGTTGGCACTCACACAGATGGGTCCCCGCTCTATTGACAGCCTGGGAAGATGACTTGAACCTCAATGCGACCTTTGGGGCCTATAAAGCGAAAAAGGCAAAGAAGAGAACTGGTTGGCGTAATCACATAATACGGCATGAAGGCCTCTGACCTGACCTGGCTGCCATTTAAGAGTGGCACTCAGCACACGAACACTGTTGTCATTCTCATCCTCACATCCTGACAGTGGTGCCTTTTCTTGGAAGCCATTTGCGCAATTAGTTTTACTCAATGAGCAGATTTATTTTTCTGATTGCAAAGAGAGCGACTGAGAGAGCTTGATTTTATGTGCAGACAGGGTGGATTGATTCTGAATATTTAGAAGTATTGAGACTACACAACAGCAGTTTTTTATAGCAGCCTAATTATCTGCTATATCGATTGAATGAACATCTCTGGAAAACAGTCTGGTTATTGTGACAGGCATAATCAGATGTCCATGGCTTATGTAATGCTTCCCTAATTAATCATTGGAGAGAGAAGGGAGCCTGAATGGCAGGGCCTCCGTAATAAAACACGACAGAGCTCAGTGCCCCTCAGTCCAGCCCTGTCAAACAGGCCAAAGAAGAACTCTTAATGACTACAGCTGCTCATTGGGACTGCGATGTGAATGCTGCACCACATGTGTGTCGAAGGCTCACCTCGTTTAGATTGAAGCATGCGCTCTGTTCTCTTCTGTGTTGTGACCGCACAGCGTTGAAGTTTACCCACGGGTTAGAGAGATACTGAGGCACACAGGCTGAATGTAGAGGATGAAGTTCACTGTCTCAGCTAATGGGAGCTGACATACACTGAGGCGTGAAATGACTTTTACTGATCCTGACGATAGCACCTCTTTCCTATTCAAATCAGCTCTCCCCCTCTAAGACAGCTTTAACTGGCACAATGAAGATAAGCTCCAAAAAGTTAATGACAGCAGAGACATTTCAAACAGCAATGCAAGGGACTTGTAAGTTGTGCATGTCTTGATTTTGTTTATTTATCACAGCTCAGATCATCTCAGTAGTTTTACTTCCAAATGCGCTGTAAGAATTGTGTTGCTGTTTTCTTTTTAAAGGCACATTTCAGTTTAATTGGCCATCTGAAGAATTGAAACATGCTCCCATAGGTGTAGGAGCTCTAATTAGTTGAAAACATGCTTTATTTGAGCTGCAGGAAAATGAGGAGCTGATGTGTGAATCAGCTATTAGACCCTGAAGGGCAAAGACGAGGCCAAGAGAGCTGTGATCATCTGGAGTTTTAACAAACAGGCTCTACCGGAATCAAAGAAAGCATTAAGCCTTTCAGGAAGGCTCAACCTCACTATTTCAAAATTCAGTTTCCATTAAACTTCTGTCAGATGGTCACAACTGACAGGGCTGTACTCTCTTAGGACATTATCCGTTGACACATGGCACGTTTTTTTTTTTTTTTTTCACAGTGAGATTGAGTCTTTGTAAGTCTGAGCAGCATTACAGCTCTAAATCCTCATAAATTCAAGTGACCTTTGCCTTGCGTCATGCTGCGTGTTTGACAGACAGCTTGAGTTTGGCCATTTTGTATGCAAAGCTCATTTATAGTTTGTTCTAAGTAGATCATTGTTTCTTACTTAACTCTTCATTCAAATATGCCCTGGCCTCAACAACTCTTATGTGACAATGTGGCAGTGGGCCAAGTATAGATATCTCAGTGAAAAGTGTCTTTAAAGAGCCCCAGCTCTTCCACTGCAGCCTCGGTATCTGCCAAACTGTACTCAGTGTACCATCTTCCTCAAGGAACCTTGTTTGTTCATGACAGTTGTGGAAGGAGATGACTGATGCGAAATATCTTCTGAATTACTGATTCCTTCAAAAAGTTTCGAGTGCCACACACAAAGAAAACCCACCCGTCTTCCAGTGGCACCACAAAGCTTCCTCACTGCCAAAAAAACCAGACTTTCCTTAAAAGCCTCAGCTATGTTCACCAGCACTGAATTGCCCAAGCAGGTGCACTGAAATAGAGACAAGTTATAGCATTCAACTCCAAGCTCACAAGAGTATTGTGCAGTTTGCCTCTAATGTTACATGCCTTGGCTCTGTGTGCAAGGCCGGCCACTGTGCTTGTGAAACTTGCCCCAAGCTACGAGCACAAAGAACCCATGACTGGACCCAGACTGTTGCCATAATTGCCGCTGAGTTCAGAAAATGGAGCCTCTCACAGTGGTGTGAGTGATAAGAAAACTGCTTAGTTGTTTTGTTTCCAGCTGGGTTCGTCTGGTGCCCGTGACAGCGCATGTCCCTCTAAGTCTCCATTAGGAGCAACTCCAATCCAGGCATTTCTCCCTTTTCTGTGATTCATTTCTTGGTCTGCCAGACACCCTGCTGGTGCATAATGACGTGCTTTGGACAAACGACTGCCTCAGCAGTTCTTCCTCGCTTTGTGGCAGAGTGAAACCCGCTTTGTGTGACTTCCATCTCAGCCAGTGAGATGGATCTGAGGCTCTGAGTAATAACTAACAACAATGTTTTAAATGATAAATACATTTTTGCATTATCATAACAGATTACTTCTTTCAAATCCTAGAAAGTTCCTCTATTAGACCGTGTGGTGAAATTGTTTTCATGCGAGCAGTTCTGCCTGCTGTCAGTCCGTCGGGCCACCAGTTTGGCCACTATTTCGATATTTTGACTGATATTCATGGTCCCCAGAGGATGATTCTCAATCATTTTGTTGATGCCCTGACTTAAAATAAATAAATAACTATTAGATGGATTTTCATGCCATTCGATACACATTCATAGTGCCCAAAGGATGACTCTTTACGTCTTTGGTGATCCCCTGACTTTTCATCTAGCACCGTCAGCAGATTAAAGTCTACTTTTATTTAGTGACATATCTCAGCATCTACTAAAGAGATTGGCACAACATTTGGTCCAGTTATTCATGTTCCCCTCCTGAATTGTAATGACTGTTGTGCTCCTTTAACTTTTCATCTGGTGCCATCATAAGTCAGAATTTGAATGTAGTATCCAACATATGTTTGCAATTAGTGATTATATTCATCATAGATTAATCCTATTTGATGTTTGTCTGTAAAATGTCAGAAAATGGTGAAAAATGAGCATCACAAATTCCCAAAGCCCGAGGCCCAACATCTTCAACAACAATCCAAACCCCAATATTCAGTTTACTATTATAGAAGACTAAAGAAACCAGATACTTTTGGTATTCCTTCTTAAAAAACATTAACTAAAAATTATGACTTGATTATCAAAATGGTTAAAGATTAATTTGCTGTCTAATCAACTAGTTGTCAGTCCAATACTTTGATTTATGACCCAATTCCTGCAAAGCTAAGGACATTTCCATCAGTGAACAGTTGTGAACATAATAAACATTATACTTGCTAAACATAAGCATGTTAGCATTGTCATTGTGAGCATGTTAGCATGCTGACTCTAGCATTTAGCCCAAAACCGCAAGTGTGTCTGCTGATTATTAGTCTTTTTGACTGTTGTCTAATTCCTAATTAATTCCCTTTAGGGGCTTGTTTTGCTGAATTTCTTGTAATTTATCAATGTCAAAGTAATTCATTCACATCTGCGAACATGGGAGCTATTACTTGATGCAGTGCCCGCAGTCTGGCTTCAACAGCCAACTCCCTTTGCGGTTCTATTTTCCTGGTTTTTGGATTGATGATACTATTTCTCACTTCAGCTTCCTGGATGATTAGCAGACCTTTGCCTTGGTCGGCAGCCCTCATATTTCCCATCACACCGTGCGCTCCTGCAGATTTGTAGAGAATTGTTGTTAGGCTGCGACGCTGCTGCAGTGTGCTGAATAGATGGGTTGTTCCCTCCCCTCTGCTCCCCAAGGCTCAGTGTGTTTGAATCCATGTGACATATGCTGTCAGAAACACGTACCCACATTATTATATTCATTGACTCTAAGCAGGCATGAGCTTTCGATCAAACATACACATACATACACACAGTCCCATAAACAAGCACTCTTCCCTCTAGTGTGTCCCTAGACACTTGGGGCCCAGAGGCTCTCACCCCCCAGCCTGGCCTCTTTAATGAGGACTGGCCCCTGTGTGTTTGATCCTGCTGCCAGCCCACAGCCCCGCGGCCCCTCAGCCTCATGCCTATTCAAGAATCCCCACAGCCTCTCCAGTTACTCCCCCATTGCCCTGGGTACACTATGGATCCAAAGCAAAAAGCACTCCTGGGCGGTTATTCGATATCAAAGCCAGCCTGACTGAAACTGTGAGGGACGAAGAAAGAAAACACACAAGAAAACAACAGCTTTGTAGACTTACAAGCAGATCTGTAACTGCACATTGATCTGTTCTTTTTGTTCCTCAGATGTTCTTCAAAAATGTCATCTATTGACTGTTAAAATCTATGAAAGGTTTTGCAGTTTCAAATGCCAAATAATTGGTTTCGCCGACTGTGGTCTTGGCATAAAAAAAACATTCATTGTCTGTAAATGGAATCTCTAACGTGTCACTTCCTCTGTTTTGTGCACAGGATGGAGGACTGCTCATTAACAACCCAACAGCACTGGCTATCCATGAGTGCAAGTGTTTGTGGCCTAACACACCCTTGGAGTGTGTGGTCTCACTTGGTACGGGCCGCTTTGAAACTCCTGGCAAAAACAGCACCTCCTACACAAGCCTGAAAACCAAACTCACCAATGTGATCAGCAGTGCCACAGACACTGAGGGTAAGTGACACAGTTAAAGGTGCATTATGCAAATCTAGAGTTTAGTTTTCAAGGTTCCTGAGATATTAACTTTTTTATGATTTGGCACCATACAAATAATTTAATAATAATAATATTTTTTAAATAGCTCCACAGCGGTTTACAAAATAATATAAACACTGAAGCACTTAAAGGGACACCCCACCAAGTTGTATAATGGCTTCTGTAGCTCTGCAGGGAAAATGACCTTGAAGATATCCTTGGATCTATCGAGATTGAAGACTACAAATTCATAATAGAAAGATTGTGTTGGAGTTGTAGAGTTTGAAAGGTGTGTGGGTTTATAAAAAATGCAATTTGTTGCATTATGGAAAGTGTAGGATCCATCAATTTTTGGAGCTTGACTCATACTAGAGACTAAAAATCAGGATGACTCAGCCTCTGCACCTTTAATTTTGACCACTCTTTTATATAATTTGTTTCCTGTTAGTGCCCCAACTTTATCATAGAAGTGCAAATAATAAATATCCTTTAATCACAATTATAAATGAAATAATTTGTGATTTATTTGATTTGATTGACTATAAAAGAGGTCTGGCACGCAGACATTTTTATATGGGAGCTTTCAAAGCAATTCCACTGGCACAATGTCAAAAACATGTGTTTTTTCCAAACTCTACTTAATATTTCAGGGAAAAACTGTGCCAGAAATCATGACATCACATGCCAGACACAGGCAAGCTGCATCAACAAAAAGGGAACACCAACAGATAGCAACAGAGCATTGTGTGTGTGTATATATACAGTATATGTGGATGGATGGGTGGAAATAGATGATATGCAGCCTGATTAGTTGTGTTTATGTTATTATACTTGAATTGATCACATCCTCCGTTTCTGTGTCATTTCTGAGGGAAGGAATCAGGTTTTGATGTCACCAGGTTGGAAAATACTGCACTGCAGGTTGACTGTGTTCTGGATACTTCCCATTGTGGCCCTCTGTAGTGGCAACTTCTTCCTTCTCCTTATCACCTCTGGACATGGGCACCTCTGCTGTGCCTAAATTTGGCTCGGTCCCCTCCCTGTTGCTGCTGCCGTGGTGCAGTGTGTGACCTAGATGCTTCTCTGCACTTGTTCCTCCTGTATTTGGGATTAAGCTCTCCCCAGCTCTCCAGCAGGCTTTGTTATTTAGAAACAGGAGATTAGCAAGAGTGTTTATCACAGATTTTCTCTTTTTCAAAAGCTTCCCTCCTGTCCTAGTGTTCACAAGCGTCCTGTTTTGTCTTAGGTGTATCAGTAGAGCCTCAGTTTGTTGTTGTGGGCAGATAAGGCTGATTTCCTGGGGTTTGAGATGTAAACAAAGCTCCTAATGGAACTGGCTCACATAAAAACTCAGTCATGTTAAGCAGACCACAAATTTGGTTCTCCATAAGGTGGAGCTGCAGATTTACGCCTTTTTCCTACAGGCCAGGGAAATAAGAACTGACGCAACTTTACCTCTCATGTTATAAGTTATATATGTTATATATTATTCTCCTAAACAGCCCGGGAAAAACACGTTTAGTTTCTGTACAGTTGCTAGCATTGTGCTTTGCATTGAGCTGGGACAAACTGTCTGCCATCCACAGGACTAAATGTTAGAAAAAGAGTGAATTATAATAGGATAGAAAAACATATTTTATCTCTAGAGTTAAAATTAATAACATATTGTGTATTCAACAAGCAAGGTTGTCTCCTCAGGAAGTTTGTAGTTGCACTTATCTTACATTTTCTCTTCAGTGTGTAACTTTTCAAAATGCGATAATGGAATACAGTACATTGACTGGTTGTACAAATGCGAGAAATAAAAGTCAATAAGTATCTCCAAATAACCTTTTAGATACATTACTCCTTGTAGAGCTTTCCTCCACAGCCTCAAAGGCAGCTAGTTGTAATATAATTCGTGTCTGGTCTCCTGAACCACTGTGGGAACGCAGACGGAAACAACTGCCGTCACCTTTTTGGATCCTTCAGGCATATTTACCCTGTTATTGCAACCCGTTGCCTGTTTGTAGGCATATGTACGCTGTTGATTTTAACTCGCTCAGACGTAGCATTTGAAAACAACCGTGACCGACAAGCCAGACATTTTCTCCTGGTATCACCTCGCACTCTCAGCCTTGGGTGCTTACTTTGTAACATGCTGCCACAGTGCTGACAGACAAGTTGTGACTTTACATGCCCTTTTCACTCTTAACACAATATTTGAATGTTTGTACATACTGTTACAATTAGGAAGTTAATTGTGTGTTTATGATTTGGTCATTTTTGTTTTCTGCGCGGCCTCACTCTCACCTCTCTTCCTCCCTCCAGAGGTTCACGCCATGCTTGACGCCTTCCTCCCTCCTGACACTTATTTCCGTTTCAACCCCTACATGAGCGAAGACATCTCCATGGATGAAAACCGGCACGAGAAGCTCAACTTGCTGCAGGCTGAAGGCGTCCGTTATCTTGAGAGGAACGAGGAGAAGCTGAAGAAGGTCACTCGCATTCTCAGCCGAGAGAAAAGCTCCGTCCAGAGAATGACAGAGTGGGCCAAGCTCAGGGCTGACATGTTTAACGGTTCTTCCCTCTACTCATCTAAGCTCTAGATCCAACACAAGCCACCTTTACCTCATGAGGAAACTCTTTCCTTATTCTAAATTGCCTAGAATATGTCATGTTACCATGCTTGGTGCTTTAAAGCTGCTGACTTCTTGACCTGTAGCTCTGCATAAACGTTATATAAACGCACAAGTAGGTAATACTGTATATTCAACATGCCAAACACTACCTTCCTTGTCACTCATACTTGCATTACGGCAGCACTCGACCTAGCAGTCGTTATGTTGAGAAGATGTGTCAAATAACAGCTTTGCTAGCAAATGCGTCTTGAATAGTTCTACATTTTTGGAAATATGTTTATTTGTTAGATGAGAAAATCAGCACCACATACCGCTAGCAGCCAGTTAGCTTAGCTTAGCATAAGAGCCTGGCTCTGCCCAAATGCAACAAAATCTACCATACTGGTTTCCTATTTCCAGACTTTGTGCTAAGCTAAACTAACCAGCTGCTGACCCTACCATGCAGATATGACATTGATATTGATCTTCTCATCTACCTTCCAGCAGGAAAGCAAATAAACATTTTTCCTAAAACGTAAAATGATTCCTTTAAAAACCGAATACTGTTCTAAAGTAGTCAGACTTTTGGACTGTTTTACCTTTTTACCCATTTACTTTCCTTTCAAAGATGTGTGGTTATGACAACCAGCATATCCTCGCAAACCTGTGTTTGTACTTTTACAGAAAAATATGTAGATTGGATATACAGTATGTGCTATTGAAATGCAGTATTTGTTGAGCTAAGCTAACACTATAAAACAGTAATGTAAAGAAATGAAAAAATGAAAAAAAATCTTATCTTATTCTTATTTTTGTATTCAATGGTCTAACCAAGGTCAGTTTGAGCACCTAATGCAAGTGACATTTCTCAGTTGTAATAACTCAAATTTGCACATTTAATAATGCAGCTACTGATCAACTGTACAATTGTATACTGATTATAGTGACATTGGTACACACCTCAAGCATTACAGTATTGCTTATGTCGTATGTAAATGCATGTTATATATAAGATTTTACACACAAAGACCAGTCAATATCTAGTAGTGTAAGATGCAAAGATTTAGCCTAATATTTCATTGTAAAATACCTACAGTATAATGATTATTAATAATGATTAAATATGAATAGCAGTAAGTATTCAAATGGAGCCTCGCTGTCATAAGGATGTGACTTTTATGTATAGTTTTACCCTCAGAGTATTTTAAGTTCACTTGTTTCAAGCGCTTTTATCATTGTGGGCTTGATTGTTTGGTTTTATGGATTCCCCACAGGCTGTACGCACATTTTCTGCTCCATCTTCAGTGTGCCCTCTTTCCCTTTGATGCCTCTTCTCAAAAGCTTCTTTCACCCATTCTACCTTGAAGTGCTGTGTTTTAGTCCCCACTCTGCTACACTGTAATGCTTGTAAAGAATTGTGCAACTTTTAGCTGAAGGACTGCTTTAAAACAGATTGCTGCATATTGATTTGTCATGGCTGAAAAATATCTTAATGACATGCACTGCTAGGAAAAATTGCACTGCAGACGCTCATTTCCATGCCTCCCCTGGTCAAGTACTGTATAACTGATTCAACAATGTGTTGGGTCACTCCCAGAGGACCTGAGGTAAAATGGACACAGATATTACTCAGATTAATGTAATTCCACTGTTCTCCTGTTCGTCCAGTGTAAGACTGTTTGAGAGTGTATGTAATTAAAACCCATCACTGAACCTCACTGCTTCTTGCCTCCTAATTATATGAAGATTAGGTGATTGTGATCTGAGGAAAGCTGCTGGGGATCATCTCGGAAAAGTAGGGACGTGCGGATGGATATTATGTCGGTAACTTGTACTCACAACTGCTTCATTATTCCAACAGAGATCTGGACTGATATGCACCTTCACCTTCTCGGTTCAATTTGATTAGCTGCACATTCGAAGTCATAACATTACAAATGCCGACACATCTAGAACTGCCAGTGGACATTTTCCTTCCAACTCAAACATATGTTGCTTTTTTTGTAAGTAAAGTAAAGGTAGGGCTGTATTTTTTTTTTTTTTTCAGGGCAAGGTAATTTGAAGGCCCTTCCCTGAGCTGCCTGTCATAAAAGAGAGGAAGGTGAGATGAGATGACTGTGCAAGGCTGTGCTCAGGCACCTGAGTAACAGCCCCGGCCACTGATGGATTGCATTTCCCTCCAGCATAAACACTGTGCACTGACACAGCTTTCCACCAACTGCTTACACGCATGAAAACACAGCGATGGTCGCAGAAGGCAGAGGACACAACAAACATGCATCAACGGTAGTCTGAGGGGGAAGTGATACAGATATTATACACATAGATCTCATATATTGTTTTAATTGGCTTTTACACAGAAAATAAAAGGAGATTCATATTTTTAGAACAAATAGAAATTAAATTATTGAGCAGATCTAAATACAGTATGTGATAAAGTGCTATCTCTGCCTTTACAGATTTCAAACTGAATTCCCACTGTGTGGCACCCTCATGATCATACACTGAACCCTGTTATCTGAAGATGTTTGTTTGATTGTTCACTCAGAGAACATCTTAAGAGATCTGAGCTGGCTGATTCAGCTATTTCGGTTTATAGCCAGGAATACCAGATAACTGAGAATAACACTATCACTGCCTGATGCAAAGTCTTGATCTCATCTTAGACTATTTTTCAAGGTAAAGTTCTTTGAGAACATTTTGTTCTGAGTGAGCCTACAAAAGCACGGAAACATACAGTACAGTATAGATTTATCACCCACAAGATGGTGGGATAACATACAGTCATCAAGAGATGCTTCTGTTCTTCATTCTCAGTAAAATCCTCTTTGTCTAGCAAGTTTAAAATAAGAAATTAGATATTTCTACAGAGAGATGTTTGGATAAAGTCACCAGTATGGCAGCTCAATGCATATTTTCTTCTCTTTATCCACTTTTTGGCCTGAACCTGTACCCAACTGGGTTTGGATGAGCACAATTCAGTTTACTTTACTGATTCATTCTGTATAAATGCTGCTTGCCAGGGAGTCCTGGCATCAAACAGCCTGTAGCCTATACTGTCGACTATAATACTAAGGGCTGTTTTTGAACACAGCAGTCCTGGCTAAAGGGATTCCCAGGAGATGTGAGCCCAACCTCTTTCTCTGTTAACCCTGTGCGGCTTTTAGGGGCTGGTGGCAAAGCTCACAGCTGCTCTGTCAAGTATCAGGGCAGAAATGTGATGCATGGATGATGAAATGATCAATGTCAATATAGATACTTAAATTCAGAACACTGTGCTGTTGATACTAGCTGTTTGCAGAGGTTTGTAAATCTTAATGTGATCCTTGAGACCTGAGATGTGTATCTTTTTTGAATTCTCTGAATCTAGTCTAAACCTTGTAGAGCTGGAAGCCAGGCCGTTCCACAGTGATTTAGGGTATTGCACAAAGTGATACGCAATTTACCGTTTACAAATCCCTTTGCTCTGCTTATTGCACCCAAACCGCCTACTAAGATTTTGATGACCTTATGCAGCCTCCACTCTAGGCAAGTATCTAGTGTGTCAGCTAAAATTAGAAGACCTGCTCGTAGATATGAACCCCATTGCGAATAATCAAGTTCGAGTTTCCAGTGCATCTAAGTCTTTGAGAGAGTGCAAAGATCATGCAGTCCAATTTTGAGTTAATACTGTAGACTGTTCTTAAACACTAAGCACGCTATGCACCTTATAAATTTCTGTTTACTCAGCTGCTGAAGCTGATTACTTTAATTTTCAATGTCTATAAGATTCGCCTTAAATGTTTTCTCCTAGATCATTTGGTCCAATAGTTTCTATATTCTAATAGTTTCAGTTACAAATTGTTGGTTCAAAATGTTCTTACACAGAAGTGAGGAATGGTTAAATGTGGTCATTAAAAACACATTTTCAGAGTTAAATGGAGAGCTGCCCTGAGTGAATGGTGTCATATAAACACAGTTATGGTAACAGTGGTCAAACGTGTAATTGACACCAGAAAAATCTCAATTTAATCTCATCCAATTTGATAGTGATTAAAATTAGTTGAAGAGTGACTCTTGAGATGGCACTAATATTTGATTAAGAAGGACTTAAGAAGCTGTATTGCTTTTGTTAAAAATGGAAACTGGACAAATGCACAAAACATGACCTTTATTTTAAACAAACCTTCCCTGGGATTCACAAGAATAATGGTTATACAACATATTACCTACTGAAACAAAGTGCTCCATATCTGTCCACTGTGCTGTATTAAGTGGATTCATGTCATGTTTTTGCCCCCTGTGTGTTAACGGGGTTAGACAGCCAGTAAAGGCTGCTCCCACTCAATATAGAAAAGTCATAATGTAATTACACAGCAGACAGAGAGAGGAACTGTATCCTCCCCTGATGTAAACAGATCTGACTCATGAACTTGTCCCCCAGCAGTAATCACATCAGTAATTAGATTTCTTTTGCACCTTTGGCCAAACCTCCAGACTCTGAATATAAATACGTCTCTCCGGTCCATGTCGGGAACAGATCTCGAGCAGGTTTTGACAGGTACTGTGTTCTTCCATCTTTGTTTTTTATATAACAACTGTTTATCATTGGGGTGGCTGATCCTCAATTACGCCTCACATTTAGCTACACCAAATACACCCAGCTCATTAGCACTTAATTAGTTTTGGAGCAAGCGGCAGATATTGAGATAAGATATGAAGAGTTTAATTCCAAAATATGATTGCCACTTTGGAAAAAAGTGACAGAAAAACAAGTGATACAAACAGAAATCCTGACAGATTGAAAATGGATCATAAATAATGCAACTTACAGTCTTTGACAAAGTCATAAACTTTTCTCATTTAAAAATGTGAAAATGTGAGCATTCGGCTGTGATAATGTTTTAGGCTGCTGTGTTTTATTGTAAATTCTGACTATGAGCCTGCTGATCTGTGTTAAATCTCTGTCAGTTAATCATCACCTCTGCTGGGAGCCAGGTCATTTCATGGTTGGCTTGCTGGTGCTGCATCTGTTATGAAGTTTATTCTAAAAAGAATCGAATGAAATAACACTGAATCAGTGAAGAAAACAGGCCAAGTGATGACTCTGTCTCTCCTGCACAATATACCCGCTGTGTGGGAAGTTTTGCATCTCAGTGAGCAGAGGACTTCAAGGATCCACTGCAGTAATAGTCATGATAATTGGAGTTACCAGTGAAGCAGAGATTATATCTTTTCTGGTGGCTTTTTGCATTTCCACACAAAGACCTGACAAGATTCATGTTGCAACTTTGCAAGTGCTTTGCTTGGTCTCTGTGGTGCCGTATCCTTGAAATTCCTTGACAATCCCTCAGAGTATTTTACGGATAACATGCATGGGGGAAATTAAGAGTATTTTAATGAGATTCAAGAGGTATGCAGACATATCTTGAGGCAGTCTGAAATGAGAGGCGAGGACAATTACAATACTTCCCAGTGTGGCACTATATACTCGCAGATAGCGAGCGAATCCCCCTGGTCCTGTTTCATTGATGATGAGAGAAACTGTTGCGTTTGACACTGGATTATGACCTTGGATGCATGTCAACCTCTCTCTTTTTCTGTTTTCAGTCACATTTTATTATACTGGTAAGCAACACAGAAATGGCTTCTCAAATACTTAAAGAAGACGTGAAAAGTAAAGAGAACTGAATGACTGTTGGGGTGGAAATTAGACATTAATATTTCCGGGCTTCTTACTGCACTTTGTCTTGTTTCCAAAAGATTATGTATCTATAAACACATTTTCATCTTCAGATCTGTGCCACAACCTAATTTTGAGCTAATCTCAGTCAACCAGCCTTTGGATGGCAACTCCGACCAGAAACCTTGTCTTCTTGCCAAACCAGGCTTATAATAACTGCGTCACTCTCTCTCAGTGATTCTATGGCTGCAGATGGCTACAATAGCTAAGCCTGAGATAATGCATGTGTGTAACATGCACTGAGAGAGGAGAGCATGGCTGGCTGGCTGGCTGGCAGCAGATGGAAGAGGAGAGAGGAAATGTCCCTTTTAAAGTCACATGACCTCATCCAGCAGAGTCTTGATCCCCACAGGCTACTGTATGATTATTAGTGCAATCCTGCTCTCAGGGCAAAATGGTATCAGGGCATGCAAATGGCTCTAAGCAATTAAGGTCCAGAACAGCTAGAATGAAGTTCACTGTCTGAAAGGTGAAAGCACTCATATTTGACTAATCTGTGGATTTGACGTTTTATTTGAGTTTTGTTTTCATTTCCTCTTTTTGTTTTAATTTTGAAGGCCTGATTAATGAAAATGTACATGGTTATTAAGCCTCTAAGCCTTGGAATTACCGAAGTGTTAAACATAATATCTGCCTGTAGCATTTCCATGATGCTTACATTTAACAATACTAATACTGCAACTATATTAAAAAAGCTGCTCCCTGCTGTTAAATAACAGAAAAGGGCATTGCTGAGCATTAAAAGACAACTTTTGCCTTGTTTTATCCTAAAACTCGTCCAGCTGTTGTCCATCTGTGGTTCTGAGCCTGCAGAGGACTAAAGTACTATTAGCGTGTCTATTTGGATAACAGTTTTTCTAGGATGGTACAGTGCCTTGAGGCCACCATACATCGGCAGCGGCGCTGCAGTGCGTGCAATGGGCGTGCGCACGCCCCGGAGTGATGCTGCGCGCCCCCGCCGGTGTATGTGTGTGTGTGTATGTGTGTCGCTGAACT